CTGACTCAACCCTGGATTCGTTTTGCTAAACCTTATTGCTTGTCTTGCCCTGGCCAGAATAGCCCCTTCCCTCAGGCATCAGATGGGCTGGGACCCACACACCCTGTCATGACAAGTCAGGACGGATGCAGGGCTAGAACTCCCGGAGCTCTGATTCCGCTGAGCTCTCTGGGCTCCAGGGGGAACCATTCTTGTTTTACCCAAACATCCCAGCCACGCCCAGGGCTTTCCAGAGATGACTCCCAGGAAAGCGGCCCCAGCCACCACCAGGAGGGTGAGGCAGGTTGGCACCAGCTTTTAAACCCAGGCAGGTGAATCACAAAGGGCACAGCCCTATGGCTTCCTCTCCACGCAGCTCCAGCGCTGGGCTCCTCAGCACGGGGTGGGTGGAGAACAGGGGAGTGAGAATTGCCAGGCAGAGCGGAGTGGGCCAGGTGCTGCCTCCATGAAGGGGGGCAGGAGGCCATGGCTGGGGCTCAGGGCATCCCTGGGAGGACACAGGCCCCAGGAACACTGCCGCCTGGAAGGGAAATGACGTCTCCAAGGCGGTTCGTGTGGAGCTGAGATGAAAATGAGAGCTCCGCCTCTCAGGCCTGCCCCTTTCCCGGGATCCCTGTGCCTCGGTGTCCTCTGCCCCACATCCTGCTCTGATGCAGACAGGGACGTTTCTCGCACCTTTGCAGGGGAAACTGAGGCATGGCAAATGGGTTAGGGGCAGCTGCAGAAGCAGAGGTGCCTCAACCCTGCCTCCTCCTCGCCAGGGACATAAGTCTGCCCCCATCGACAGAACTACAGAGCACTCAGGAGACCCTTTCTGTAATGGAAAACACTTTAATTAGAGGAATAGTAAACAGGAAATAAGTGTAAGAGAGTTCTTTGTTGTTGTTGTTGTTGTTAATTCTCCCCCAAGGATATTTTCCCCTTGATTTTTTTTTTTTTTAAAGAGCGAGTAAAGGGGACAATAGAGACAGAGAGAAACATCGATATGAGAGAGACATCCATTGGTTGCCTCCTGCACGTGCCCAAACCCGGGCCAGGATTGGGACCGCATCAGAGGTACAGTACCCTTGACCGGAATCGAACCCGCAACCCTTTGGTCTGCAGGCCCATGCTCTATCCACTGAGCCAAACTGTCTAGGGCTAAAAGGGAGTTTTTAAGTCCTGCTAATCTCCATAATAATACTTCAGGGCTTTTGTGGAAATACAAAATGTCAAATTCTTGAGATTTCTCTCCCTCATTCTTTTGGTGTCTGTTGGCTCGCGTGAACACAGGCTCACTGCTCCCCGGGAATTCGGTTATGCCTGGCAGCCTGCAGGGTCCCAGAGGCAGGCAGGAGAAAGGGCTTCTCAGGACTTCCCTTCCTATGGACCCTTGAAAAAAACACCTCCACCCCCATCCTGCCCTCCACCCACCGTGCCTGCCAAAGCACCAGGCACGGGCCCAGCCAGGAAACAGGAGACGCCGCTGCTGTCCATTTCCCCTCCCTTCTCCCCCTCCGTCCAAGGGTTCCTAGCTCCAGACCTGGAGCCAACTCCCTGATAAGGGCTGGGTGGGTTTGGGGGGAGAGGCACAGGGAGGGCCAGCCCGATGGCCTGTGACCCAGTCTCCTCCAAATCACTCACTCAGCAAAACTGCTTCTGCGGACACACTCACTCCCTGGCTTCCGGTAAAAAGCCGCGCCCTCTCCATCCTCACCAGGGGAAAGGGAAGAGGCGAGGAAGAGAGCCAGGCACCTGGCTGGGCGAGGCGCTAGAACCGAGGTGTCACTGCCTCATTCAAAGCAGTTCCCATTCTCACAGATGGGCTGCATTCCGAAAGCCTGTTGCTAGTTTTCCCCTGTACGTTAAACCGGCCAGATAAACTGTTTATTGAGCATGAACTATAGCAGGCACGACGCTGGACGCGCACTGCTTTATTTAATCCTTCTGAGAATCCTGCGGGGGGGGGGGGGGTGCCCTTGGTCTCACATTGTGGCTGAGGAAATGGAGGCCCAGAGAGGTGACGTCATCTGTCCCTGGCCACCCAGCAGGGTCAGGGTTGGGAACGGATTCTGGATTCCAAGCCCAGTGGTTATTCCATGATGCCACACTATTTTGAGCCGTAAATAGTCTTCCAGATTAAGCCACAAAAACTCCCTTAATCCATTATGCATCCCAAAATAGTGTGCTCGTGAAAAGGGAAAACAGAAAATAGGGCTGAAAGTCTAATGAGTTAGGGCAGGAAAACAATAAAGCAGGCTTGGGGAGTGTTCTGTGGTCCAGAATAAGGGCTCCTTATGGGAAGAGGCTTTAACGAGAAGAGGACGTGGAGGTTGCTGAGGACGGATGTAATGAAATCCACCAAGAGGAGGCTGGATGCTGGCAAAGGCTTAGGGGCTTGGGGTCCTGGCTCAGTGTCTAGTTTCCTTCCCAATAGGTGCCTTTTTCTCGAGGCAGCAGCTATGACTGGAGTTGACCTGAGTGAAGAAATGCAGCAAAGGCCCTGGCCGCCGTCCCATACACCAAGAGGCTGTAGGTTTGACTCCGGGTCAGAGCACATTACTGGGGTGCAGGTTTGACCCCTGTCAGGGCGTGTACGGAAGACATCAATTGATGTTTCTCTCACATTTCTTTCTCGCTCTCTCTCCCTCTCTTTCTCAAAATCAATAAACAGCCCGGCTGGTGTGCCCCAGTGGTTGAGCATTGACCTGTGAACAAAGAGGTCACGGTTCGATTCCCGGTCAGGGCACATGCCTGGGTTGCAGGCTTGGTTCCCCCGTGGGAGGCGTGCATGAAGCAGCCAATCCATGATTCTCTCATCATTGATGTTGCTATCTCTCCCTTTTCCTTCCTCTCTGAAATCAATAAAAGATTAAAAATTTTAAAAAATCAATAAACGTCCTTGGGTGAGGATTTTTTTTTTTTAAATGCAGCAAACACAAGTGAGTAAAAGAACAGGGAAGACAGAAAGTGATTTCTGTGTAACATAGCAAGGAGGGGTAAAAATTAAGAGACGTGTGTCTGTGTGAGAATTAAGCAGCCCAGTGACATTTTAAAGAACTCATTCCTGCAGCTTCATCAGTGAGAAAGGCAAGCAGAGAGCCAAGTACAGTGACACCCCCACCCCTCCCGGGTAGGACAGGTGACGGGTAAGGACAATGAATCACACACTTCTCTCCAGCGGCTGCTGAGAGAGCGGCTTCCTGGGCGGCAGTGAGTAAAAAACATGTGGGGGATGGGGTGTTCTCCTCCAGCCCCACAGCTTCCCATCACCCACGTGCTGAGATTCCAGCTTCTCCTCTGAGCTCCAGGATCACACAGCCAGCGCCAACGGACCTCATCAGAGTTGATCTTAGTCACACACACACACACACACACACACACACACACACACACACCCCGTTCCCTCTTCAGGCTTTCTCATACAGTAAATGGCATCATCTTCTAAGGCAAACACGTAGGAGCCGTCCTGGATTCCTCCCTTTCTTTCATTCCCCACAACTAACTCACCAGGGAGATGAAAATAAAACTCACACTTCTTACCCCGACGGACAGTCGGCCTGCCTCTGATGTCATCACGTTTCCTGCGGCTTCATGTGAACCCACTGCCCCAGCCCTCCTTCTATGCCGCAAACAGGCAACGTCCTTCCTAGCTCAGCCTTTGCATTTGCTGCTCCCTCTGCCCAAGCCCCCTTTCCCACCTTGGTGCAAGGCTAGTTACTTCTCATTCTCTCCAAATGTTTTTATTGATTTTTAGAGAGAAAGGAAGGGAGAAGGATAGAAACATCAATGAGAGAGGAACATCATCCCAAGGCTGCCTCCTGCACGCCCCCTACGGGGGATCCAGCCTGTAACCTAGGCATGTGCCCTGACAGGGAATCAAACTGGTGACCTCTCGGTTCCTGGGTCAACTCTCAACTGCTGAGCCACACCAGCCAGGCATGTCTCATTCTTTAGGACGCTCACATCGAATATCAGCTCTTCAGAGGGCCTTCCCTGACCTCCTCATGTAAAGTGTCTAAGTTATTCTCAATCACATCTTCCGGTTTCTTTTCTTTATAGCATCAAACGTTCTTCTTTATTTGCTATCTGTGCTTTCATTGTCTGTCCCCATCCACAAGTGTACATATAGGTTCCTTTAAGAGTGTCTTGTTGACTCTTGCACTTGGCAATGTACCTAGTACATTGTATGAATAATCAAACAAATGAATGAAAGGAAGTTGCAGGTATCAAATTCAAACAGTGCTTCGCTAGAGAGTTAAGGTTTCGTATAAGCCATAGGGTTGAAGGTAAGGCCATTGTTCTTAAATATATCTGCGTTCGGGAGGAGGGTAATTGTTTAGGAGTAGCCAGCATTAGGTAATTAATTGCCAATCCATGCTTGGCAGAGCCTGCAGGGGATCAGCTCAACTCCTAACCAACCCCGAAATGTTCCTAAAGAGATGGCAGGTGTCAGGAGAAGAGTTGAGGCATATTGATCATGTATGTTTACATAAAGTTATAATAGCTGCCCTGCGTGGAGCCCGGGCTAGGTGAGAGGTACTGTGGTAAGTACTTTATATTTACTGTTGTGATTCATTCACACACACACACACACCCTGTAAAAGCAGGTACTATTTCTAAATCCACTTTACAATTGAGAAACCAGTGATTGAGGGCAGTAGCTTGCTAACTGGGATTCTAATCCAGGCAGGCCTGACTCCAGAGCCCATAACTCTACCGTCTGCTGACAATGCCATGCGATACTCAGGGCAGGGACTGCGTGGCCAGTGTTAGGAATAAAGAAGCTAAGGTTCAAGCATAATGAGTGACTTGCTCAAGACCATCGGCTAGTGGTTGGTGGCCTGGGACGAAGTCCAGGTCCTGACTCTGATGCCAGAACCCTTTCAGCTGTAGCTCATGGACCCTGTTGGGACGAGGGGTGAGTCCAGGCACGATGCAGGTGCCATGGACACTTGGAGGTCAAGGGAAGGGAAAGGATGCCACACAGTGGGAAAGGCTGATGCTCCTCTCTCCCTCAGGCATTCTTGGAGAGGTATGGCTACCTCAGTGAACAGGCCCCCGGAGCTCCCTCATCCACGCGACTCAGCAATGCCATCAGGTAGGATGGAGGGGCGTGAGGGTTTGGCAGTGCTGGGAATACGCTTAGGTCATCTCCTCCCTCCTGGGGGAAGGCTGCCCCCATGTGGGTCCAGGGGGCCATGCTCCATTGTTCCTCCCCACAACCGCCCACTCCCACCCGCCCCAGCCTCCTGCTGTATCCAGGGAAGCTCCCCGCTCTCACCACCCACCCTCCCTTTGTGGTCCTTTATCTCAATTCCTCCCGACAGGGAGTTCCAGTGGGTGGCCCAGCTGCCCATCAGTGGCGTGCTGGACCCCGCCACCCTCCACCAGATGACACTGCCCCGCTGTGGGGTGGCGGATACTGACGGCCAGGCAGCCCGGACCGAGCGGGTCAGCGCCCTGTTTGCCGGACGCCGGGCCAAAATGAGGCGCAAGAAACGCTTTGCAAAGCAAGGTGAGCACCGTGGCCATCTAGCCAGGACAGGACTCCCCAACATCCCGGAGCCCCACGGCCAGAAAGAGGGCTCCGCCTCGGCCTGGGCTGTGTCCATAACCTCGTCTCTGGGGTGGGGAGGGGAACACAATGGGACCTGAGGACCATGTTTGTGAACAAAGACATTTACATCAGTTTGATTTGGGTCCATAGTACATTTTCAGCAGCTTGAACTATAACTCACATAACCAATACAATTCACCCATTGAGAGCCTACAATCCAGTGGCTTTTAGCATATTTGCAGAATTGTGCAACCATCATCACAATGCAATTGCAGAACATTTTCATCACCTCAAGCAGAAACCCCATACCCCTGAGCTGGCCCTTCCAGCTCCCTCTCCCAGCTCCTAGCAGCCATGAATCTACTTTCTGTCTCTATGGGTTTGCCTCTTCTGAACATTTCATCAGAACACATTTTAGGCATTACACTTCCTCCCGTTATGATTTAATTGTGGGTGTTTTTTTTTTTTTTTTTTTTCTTCCCTTCACTTCTTCCTCCTTCTTTGGCCAAATCCAGTCTTCCAGGGTCAAAGGTTACTGATCTAAGATTTGTAAGGATTTTATTCTCCTGTCCATTCTTCATCAGTAACAAGTTTTGCAGTTTACCAAGTCTAATTTCCTCTGGTCACCTTCTGCCGTTTTCAAGATTCGGGGTTGTTTAGTCAGCTTTTTACCTGGAATGAATTTTACTGTGAGCCCTTCGGGCGATTGTCTCTTTGAATTTGCAGTAACTACTTTTACCGACCATGTCCATTAGGAACCAGGCCAGAAGGCACATAGTTTGTTTTCATTTCTTAGCTAACCCCAAAGGAAACTGAGGGCATTTCCCCTCAGCTGCTGGAGGATGGCCATTTCCAGGTATTCGCTGATCCAGTTCAGCTGTATCTACACTCCCAACTGCCCCGGGTCTCCGGTGCTGACACGGTGTCCTGGGCAGCAGAGGAGAAGGGCCAGGCCTGAGCACAGGAGGCCCTGGCGGAGCAGGAAGAGTGACATTCCTGGGGCTCGGGCTCTGGGTTCAGCTGTGTGACCTGAGCTGAGTTACTTTGCTGTTTCCTCATCTGAGACACGGGCCCTTTTAGGTTGCAAAGGAGAGATGAGTTCTGATAACCAAGGGGAGGGAGCTTGCCCGGGCCAGTGTGGCTCAGTTGGTTGGCGCGTCATCCCATATATTGAAAGGGGGCAGGTTGGATTCCCTGTCAGGGCACATGCCCAGGTTTCAAGCTGGAATCCTAGTAGGGAACCTGCAGGAGGCAGCTGATCAAGGTTCTATTCCCACATTGATGTCTCTCTCTCTCTCTCTCTCCCTCTCCTTCTTCTCTCTTTAAAATAAATTTTAAAGGAAGGGGGGGGCAGAGATTGTGAGAATACAGCAGAAAGGCGGGCAGCCCCAAACACAGACTCAGCAACAACACTTCCAGACTAGATTCCATGGAGATTTGGGACGATGCCTCCTGGATGGTCATGGCATGACCTGAGCACTCAGGATGCTTCCTCCCAGCACCACCTCATCTTCTCACGCCCCAAGGGAGAATCTGATGGAGTGTCTGTTGGTCACTGTCCAATTTGGAGCATCCCTTTTATTTTATTTTATATATATATATATATATATATATATATATATATATATATATATATATATTATTGATTTTAGAAAGGAAGGGAGAGGGAGAGAGGTATTGAAGCATCAATGATGAGAGAGAATCATTGATTGGCTGCCTCTTGCACACCCCCTCCTGGGGATCAAGCCCGCAATCCAGGCATGTGACCTTGGCCGGAATAGAACCTGGGACCTTTCAGTCTGCAGACTGATGCTCTATCCATTGAGCCAAACCAGCTAGGGCTGGAGCATCCCTTTTAGACAGAGATTTGGGCTAAGGCGCCTCTCAGGCAGGCAGCTGCCCCCCACCGCCTCGCCCCATTTCCTTGTCTGACCCCTGGTCCAGACGGCCGGCCGGGTTAGACAGAGAATTTCCCTCTCGGTCACAACATGACTTCACTTCCTTTCCTCCCTGGGTGGGGAGATAGTCCCTGGATTCTAGGGCCTAGAAGGAAGTTGTAGGTTTGGCAGGCACTGAGCCATTCCTAAACCTTAGGAAAGAAAGTGTAATAGTAACAGCTCACACCTATTGAGCATTTATGATGTGCCAAGCACAGCTGTGAACAGATTAACTCATTTTCTCCCGAACAACCCTCTGAGACAGGTACCACTATTACCCTCACTTCCAGGTGGGCACGCTGATGGACAAGGAGCTTAGGCAACTTTCCCAGGGCCAAACAGCCAGAGGGTAGCCAAGCCTTCTTGCCCTTGGAGAATTAAGTGAGATTCCAGATGTGGAAAAAACCCAGAATATGGGTAGGTGCTTTAAAAATGAGTGGAAAACCCCAGAATATGGGTAGGTACTTTAAAAATTTATGGATCCCGAAGCCAGTGACTTTTCATTATGTGGGCGAACGCCATGCTGAGGGAGCTGGGCTCCAGGGTAGGAATGCCAGATAAAACACAGGATTCCCACGTTGAATTTCAATTTCAGATAAACACCAAATAATTGTTTTGTCTTTATGTTCTTATACTAAAATAATGACTTGTTGACCTGAAGTTCAGGTTTAGCCAGGCATTCTGCATTCTCATTCGCTAAATCTGGCAACCTTCTTCCACACGCCTGCTCCCCTCTGCACCTGCTGGTTTTCAGTGCCCCCTCCCCCTCCCAGAGCTGGTGAGGTGGGGAGCTCAGGGGCGGAAAAGGAAGAAGGGAATGGATAATCACTGGGCACCTAGCACGTGCCAGGCAGCTGCGGGTTGCTATGTCATTTCTACTTTGCAAATAAGGAAACTGAGGCTTGGAGGGATTCTGTCCTTTGTAAGGAAAGGTACGGAGATTCCAACCCTTGTTCTCTCCACCGTAGCAGGTTGCTATTGGGAATCAGGACTCTCGCTCGGGTCCTGCCCAAGCAAAGAATCTAGCTCTCTTCCCTCCCCATCTTTTTTTCCTCTTCTCTTCCCTTTTGGGTATTATTTTTTAAATTTATTGTTTTAAATCCTCACTTAGGATATGTTTTTATTGACTTTAGAGAGAGAGAGGAAGGGAGAGGGAGAGAGAGAAAAAAAACAAAAAACAAAAAACACTTCTACGCGAGAAAGAAACATCGATCGATTGCTTCCCGTACCCACCCCAATCAGGGATCAAACCCAAAACCTGGGTATGTGCTCTGACTGGGTATCCCTTTTGCTGTACGTGATGATGCTCCAACCAAACTACCCACACCAGCCAGGGCCCCTTTTGGATTTTAGATCAAGGGTTTAGGGTGCAGTGCCAGGTGCTAGGGTCGCCTGGGGGTTGCCATGGAAACAAGCCAGGCATTTGGGGTGGGACCTGCAGTGGCCAGCCTGCTCCAAAGACAGGAATCTGGAAGAAGCCAGGGAAGAGGGTTCAGGCCGCTGGCCCCGCAGTCCTTCCTTCCCACAGGCACACCAACAACCTACCACCCTGCTCCCCGCAAGGAAAATGGGTCATTTTCTCTCAATTCCTGTTCCTAGGTGTCTCCCTATTCCCTGCCCACCCCTCAGCTGCACAGGGGATTTGTATCCTTTTATCCTTCGAGCTGTCACCTTCCCTGACCACGTAGAGTGAGAGAATTGCCCCCTCCCTGTTCCCTGTCTTTGGAGTGAGGGCCACCCTAGCTCTGGGGTTGGTTACCCATCGCAGGGTGTGAAAGAGCCCAATGCCAGCTCCTCTCCCCGCCCCCCAGTGCCCAGTGCCAGCTTACAATGCTCTACAAGTGTTAATGGCTGTGCTCGCTTCTGGACGCCAGGCCTCTCCTCCCATTGAATCCTTCCCTCTCCCCTCCCTGAGGGCTGGTCGCTGGCTGGGAGGGGCTGGGTGGCTGCCAAGCCAAACAGGCCCAGGAGGCAGCATTGCCTTGAATGGAGCTTGGCTCAGGGGTGGGAGAAGGGACATCCCCTTCCCCCGCTTTCAAGGGGGTGGGGGGAGAGGGAAAGGGTGCTCAGCTCCTCTGCCCTCTGTGACCCTCCCTCCCATCCAGAGAATGTCAGCTCTCACAGAGCCCCTGCTCTCACACGGAGGAGCGACGTGCAGGCACGTTTATAAGTCTTAGCAAATGTGTCTGCTTATCTGCTCAGAATGAAAAATGCACTGAATTCGGTGTCAGGGCCTGGGCTCCTTTTTTGTGTGTGACCCTGGGGGCAGTTCTTACACACACACACACACACACACACACACACACACACACACACGGTCTCAGAGCCCCCAAATAGAGGAGAGGTTGACCGAGGAGATGGCTCAACCCCCACCACTTCCCTCCTCTTGCCAGGACTTCCCTGGGACAAAGGGGCAGGAGGCCTGAACCTTCAACTGCCCCGCCCTCAAGGGGAGGGGCCGCTGTGCCCGCTCAGCTGGTGCCCCAGCATGGTCAACCCCGCTCTGCCCGCTGTCTCCCAGGCCCCAGGGATTTGGTCCATTTGGGAAACTGAGGCCCAAAAGACATGACTCTTGTGTGCTCCTGAGCCCAGAGGCCTGCCTCCAAGCAGTGAGTCTTCTGCTTGGGGTCAGAGCCTCAGTCCCTGAGCGTGCAGGGCTCAGAAGCAGCTCAGGGGAACTGGGAGTGTGGGCCTTCGAAGCACCCTGGTCCTGGGCGTGTGGTGAGCTGGCGCTGGACCCAGACTAGCTGACCTGGGGCTTGGCCCGAGGCCCGGGTCTCGGCCTCAGGGAGGAACTGCTGCGGTTCTGGGCAAAGGAGTAGAGAGGCCCAGCCGAGTGGAGATGGGAAAATTGCTCTCGGCCAGCGACAGAACACACCCTTTGTTCTTGTTTTCACCTCAGAGCTCTCCAGGGCCCCTGAGGAAGCGAGCGGGAGGGCCAGGGGTCAGGGAGGGACCTCACATAAATGGGTCTTGTGATGGCTACTCAGGGACAGGCCCCGGGCGCTGGAAAGGGAGGTGGCCGGAGGGTGTGAGGGCTGGGGAGGAGGACGGGTCAGGAAGGGCAGGGAGGCGGTGACCCCGTGGCTCTGCCTCTCCTCTGCCCGGCACCGTGGTCAGGGGCGGGGGTTTGCTGCCAGCAGGAGGCACAGAGTGGGTTTTCAGGCTGGACCCAGGCTGAGTGGGAGGAGACCCCGGACCAGAGGGTCCTCCAGGCTGGGAGTCCTCCTGAGCAGCGGCTGCATCGCCCCCATTCTATTTTGGAGGGCGATGCCGCTTGGCCAAGGTCCTTAGGGAGCTCCTTAGGCCAACCCATTGGACAGGGATTCTCCAGGACAAGGGCAGGCTGACCCGTCTGAGAGCAGGGTCTCCCCAGCCAAATGGGGGCCATCGCAAGGCAAGGGCTGTGTCTTCCCCGCCGGACCATGGGCTCCTGGGGGAAGGCCTATCTCCCTACCATACGTGTTGCCCTGGGGGCCAGCCCCAGGCTCTGACGTGGCCTCTCCGGGTGGCAGGCAACAAGTGGTACAAGCAGCACCTGTCCTACCGCCTGGTGAACTGGCCGCAGCACCTGCCGGAGCCCGCCGTCCGGGGGGCCGTGCGGGCCGCCTTCCAGCTCTGGAGCAACGTGTCGGCACTGGAGTTCTGGGAGGCCCCGGCCACAGGCCCCGCTGACATCCGCCTCACCTTCTACCAGGGGGACCACAACGACGGGCTGAGCAACGCCTTCGACGGCCCAGGTGCCCACAGCCTCTCCCCTCCCCAGGCAGAGGGGGGCCCTGCTAGGAGGGGCCGTCTGCGGAGGGCAGTGGAGCATGCGCTCTCCCCGAGGCCTTGCCCAAGCTGCATCCCCCTCCAAAGAGCCCTCAGTCTCCTCATCTGTCAAACGGGAACAGAACCTGCCCGATGTTGTGCCCTGTGGCTGCTGGGAGGGTCAGAGGTGGTTCTGCAGGGAAAGTGCCTTGCAAACTCTAACGAGCATTTTATCTTTTCTGGGAGGGCCTTCTGCAGTCTCGTCACTCATCCCCTGCCTCCAGACAAGCCTGTGCCTCTTTCTCTATATATATTTTTTAATTGATTTTACATAGAGAGGAATCGAGAGGGATAGAGAGTTAGAAACGTCGATGAGAGAGAAACATCCACCAGCTGCCTCTTGCACACACCCCCTGCTGGGGATGTGCCCGCAACCAAGGTACGTGCCCTTGACCGGAATCGAATCGGGGACCCTTGAGTCCGAAAGCCAACGGTCTATCCACTGAGCCAAACCGGTTTTGGTGCCTGGGCCTCTCTTGTTCTCCAGACCAGGATGGCGGAAGCCACCACTGCCCTACACCTGCCCTCCCCCAAGCCACTGTCACCGTCACTGCCTCCAAGCAAGGGGCCTTCTACCTGCTCCTGCCACAGAAGCGCTTCAGAGGCCCACGCCTGGGCCTCCTGTCTGCCCCCAACCTGAAGGCTTCCAGCTGAGACTTACACTGCTGTTCCCACTTCTGCTCAACACTGGCCTGCAGAGCCTAAGTGCAGGCTACCTCTGCATCCTCCCAATTCCCCTCTCCCCCCCTCTGCACTAAGGAGTCGGGAAACCTGATCAAACCGCTTCAGCTGGGCACTTAAGCCCTGTGTGGCCTCAGAGCTTGGGCCCCTACTCCCCTGCACTCTCCTGCTTTCCAACAATCCCATTCAGAGCAAAGCCCCTTCCGGGCCCGGCTGCCCGGATCAGGGCAGGGCTGGCAGAAATCTAGGCTTTTTGAGAACCTGCCGGTAGGACACACACATGCTTGCCTATGATTCATTTCACCCATGATTATCTACATGAGACGTTTCCATCCGTCCCCAGGTGGAGTCTGGAAGCAAAGACAGCACCAGGCTGGGAGTCAGCTCTCTGATGTGGGACAGGTGCTCTATCTTGTTTAGTCAAACACCTCCCATCTGTCTCCCAAGATCGTTGTAAGGGTTGAATGGAAAGGCGAGCATTGCTCAAAAACGGTTCAGGGCACATTCAAAACAGGGAGGCATGTGTTCTTCCCACGCGTGGACATCTCTGCACGCCCCATGAGGCTCTCCTCAACATTAGCCTCCGGAACACTGTCAGTCCCCGTTGGGCTGGGCTCCAAGACAGCAGCACTGGCGGGACCCTCAACATTACCACAGTGCGGTGTGCTGCCGCTGCCCCTGCCCCTGCCCCTGCCCCTGCCCCTGCAGAAAGTGATCTCTGAAGGTGGGGCCCTGGGAGCTGCATGGCTGATAGACTAAATCTGGGGCACCCTGCACTTGAGCATCACTGGTCCAGCCCAATTCCTTCTGCTCACTCCTATTATAGCAGGGAGTAAAGACCCACAGAGGGGCCCTGGCAGAGGGAAGGCAAGGACACAAGAATACATACACCTCCCTCCCTCCCCTCCCCCCCCCCCAAAGAGTGAAAGGGAGAGGGAGACAGAGACAGAAACATTCATGATAAGAGAGAATCACTGATTGGCTGCCTCCTGCACGCCCCCTACTTAGAACCAAGCCTACAACCCACCCATGCATATGCCCTGACTGGGAATCGAACCATGATCTCCTGGTTCATGGGTCGATGCTCAACCACTGAGCCACACCAGCCGGGCAAGAATACATGTACTTTTTTTTTTTATTATTATTAAAGAAACGATGCATACCCGTGAACACACCCAGTGCCCAGTTCAAAACACATTAGCAGCACCCCACAGGGTCCCCTCGTGCTCCAATTCTGGGGTAACCCCTGTACCTACTCCAAGATTTCCTACATAGCATTTATTATATGCTGGGCACTCGGTGTAGGTAACACACACAAATACACACATCTCTTTTCGATCAGAAAAAAAACCCTGCGAGGAAGAAATCAGTATCATCACTCCTGTTTTCAGATCAGGAAGCGAAGGCACGGAGGGAGGGTTTAAGAGTCTTGCCCAGGGTCCCTGCCCTAGAAAATGGGAAAACCAGGCAGTTTGATCCCCTTAGCACCCGCACCCCTCTGCCTCCCAGCGCCTGCACCCCACAGCTGGGCACGGGGTCACCGCACTTGAGCTCCTGCCAGACGGAGTTGGGAGGGAAATTGAGCAGCAGAAAACAGCCACACGCTCCCCTGGATGTGCGCTGGGTGGTGGGTGGGAACGCGGGGGTCGCGGGCGGCGGCTCCCCTGACCCCCCGCGCCGCCTGCAGGGGGCGCCCTGGCGCACGCCTTCCTGCCGCGCCGCGGGGAAGCGCACTTCGACCGGGATGAGCGCTGGTCGCTGAGCCGCCGCCGCGGGCGCAACCTGTTCGTGGTGCTGGCGCACGAGATCGGCCACACGCTCGGCCTGGCGCACTCGCCCGCGCCGCGCGCGCTCATGGCGCCCTACTACAAGCGGCTGGGCCGCGACGCGCTGCTCAGCTGGGACGACGTGCTGGCCGTGCAGAGCCTGTATGGTGAGCCCCCGGCCCCCGGCCCCGGCCACTGCCCGCCCCTACCTGCAGGCCTGGCTCCTCAATCGCATCTTCCACCCTAAGCGCGGGTCCCCATCACGGGTCCTTCCAAAGCCTTAGGCTCCTGAAATCTGAAAAACCTCAAACCCCACCTCCCCCATGCTTGCCCTGGATCAACCCCAACGAATCGAAGGCCTGGGCACAGTCCTGCCCAACCCCCCACCTCCACAGTTGCTCTCGCATCCCTGCCCATCACCCAGACTCACCTCTTCCCCCACCGCCTACGCCAGGGCCCTCATCCCTGCTCCTAGCAGCGCTTTCTTTCTATCCCTGAGGCTCCCAACCGGTTTCTTATTGGCCACGCGCCCTCTGCTTCGTCCAGGACTCAGAGGAGAGAGAGTGCGCGCTGCACTTCTTAGTTCCACACCCCTGGAGGGTCCCCGCTTCCATTTTGTCTCTGTCGGTGCCTCTTTCCAGACTGAGATAGGAGCGAGGGCTTCTGAGTTTAGTGCTATGGTTAACACTCACAACCAAAGGCAACTCTTAACCCCACCCCTGCTCTCCTTCCCGGCCCCTCCTATCGGACAGGGATGAAAGGAACCAAGGGGAGGGGGGGGTGTCTTGAGCCCGCAACCCCCTCCTAACCACCGTGTGCTCTTTCCCTCTCCCCTCCCCCCTGCAGGGAAGCCCCAGGGCGGCTCTGTGGCCACCCAGCTCCCAGGAAAGCTGTTCACCGACTTCGAGGCCTGGGACCCCCACAGATCCCAGGGAAGGCGCTCCGAAACCCAGGGCCCTAAATACTGCCACTCTTCCTTTGACGCCATCACTGTAGGTAAGACGGGCCCACCCATGCAGTGCTTCCTCTTCCCTCCTCCCCCACGTCTCAGGGGTCTCCAGAGCTGGAGCTCAAGGAGGAGCAGGAAGGATAAAACCCAGAAATTCCAAGCCACAAGGATTCTGCAAGGCAGCAAGCCTGTGCCAAGCAGAACGCTCCTTTCTCCTCCCGCCCAGCTGTGCCCGCTGCCACCTCTCTGGTCAGCGTGGGAGGCCGGGTTCCGGGACTGCGCCTTCCCTGGGCGGAAGGCAGGAGGCGGGTGGTCCCTGCTTCACTCTCTCGTCTCTCTGTGCAGACCGGCAGCGGCGACTGTACGTTTTCCAAGGGAGCCACTACTGGGAGGTGGGAGCGGATGGCAACGTCTCAGGGCCCCACCCGCTGCAGGAAAGGTGGGCCGGGCTGCCCCCCCACATCGAGGCGGCCGCAGTGTCACTGGAGAACGGAGACTTCTTCTTCTTCAAAGGTACCTTCCCGGGGGCCGATGAGAAAGGGGTCCTGCCCAAGGTCAGAGGAGGGGAGGCACCTCAATTCCAACCCCAACCTGTGGCCTGGGGAACGCTCCCAGGAGATTCCTTCCGTGGTGGATGGGGCAGGCGGTGGCCAGCTGGTTCCAGAGGGAAAGAGAGGGTGGGAGAACCCCAGAGAAGACTCTAGAGCAAGCATGTCAAACTCCGTGGCCGGCAAGTCTGACCTGCTAGTCTAGAGGGAAGAGAGGACCACTCTGAGCTCTGTGATTCTCAGAAAGTCCTGCCTTCCCCGGAATCCTGCTGTAGGAGGTGGGGCTTGTTGTCACTTAATTCTTGGAGCTTGGATTTTCTGAATGGGGAACACAATCCCTCGGGTTTGTTGGGGACGAAGGACGGAAAGAACATAACTGTCTGAGCAGTGTGCAGTGTATCACTTCAGTAAACAGTGTTCATTCATTCATTCAACAAGTATGGAGCGCCTTCGATGGCCGGGGCTCGGTCGGAGGTGTTGGGGTACGTAGTGAGCCAAAGTCCCTGCCCTCCTAGAACTGTAGGAGTCGTGGCAGTGAGGAAAGCCCCTGGCCTTCCCTGGAGCCCAGTCCTCACCCAGGGAGAGTGTCCTCGCTACCCAGGGAGGGGCTAGACATGTTCCTTTGGCGCCATGTGCCCTCTGCTGACACCTGCTGGAAGCCCAGGCCATAGCAGTCCCTTCCCACTATTCATAACCAAATATTAATTAGTATGATCCATTTTATCACAAACACTGACCACCTTGGGCTCCAACACAAGAAGGAAGAGAGGGTACAGGGGGCAGAGTTGGGGTGGAGGCCCAAAGGGTGAGAGCTGCCAGCTCACCCTGGCTCTCCCGCAGGGAGTCGATGCTGGAGGTTTCGGGGCCGCGAGCCGGTGTGGGGCTCTCCTCAGCTGTGCCGGGCAGGAGGCCTGCCTCGCCACCCGGACGCAGCCCTCTTCTTCCCTCCTCTGAGCCGCCTGGTCCTCTTCAAGGGGGCCCGCTACTATGTGCTGGCCCCAGGGGGGCTGCAGGTGGAGCCCTACTACCCCCGAGGCCTGCAGGACTGGGGCGGCGTCCCCGAAGAGGTCAGCGGGGCCCTGCCCCAGCCCGACGGCTCCGTCATCTTCTTCAGGGACGACCGCTACTGGCGCCTGGACCAGCCCACACGGCGGGTGACCGCCTCGGGCCGCTGGGCGGCAGAGCTGCCCTGGATGGGCTGCTGGCACGTGAACTCGGGGGGTGCCCTGTTCTGAAGGCGCCCCCACCTCATGGTGAACTTTAGGTGCTCTCCTGGCCAGCCCCAGGGGCAGAACCTGCCTCGGACGCCTCGGGGAGGCCCTCCCCGCAGAAGACTCAGCGTTTGCTCCCCAGAGAACATGGCACTCACTGTCTTGGCGCTGTTCCCAGACCGTGGAAGTGGGGCCAGGATCAATCCCAGGAGAAGCCAGAAAGGGTCCCGGAGGCCACAGCCTTTTTCGCAAGGACTTTCTTCCCTGGGGCGTGGGGATCCTGCTTTTTCTGCTTCCGGTGCAGCTCCTGCCTACGAGGCAGCAGCTGGGCAGCCAGGCAGGGTGCAGAGCTCCGCAGAGAGGCTGGGACCACTCTGCAAGGCTGTCTGCCTCCCCGGAGGACCTTCTGGCTCAGTTCTCGGAGGACGGTGTCCTGTGTAGCAGAGGCCTGCCCGCAGAAAGCCTGGATGGGCTGGGTACGAGGGTCTCCGGCCCCGAGGCCCTGAGTGGGGTCGGGACTGAGAGCCGGAGGGAGATGGATGCAGCCCAGCTTCCTGGGGGAGGCTGAATAAAGAGGTGCCCCCGCTGGTGGGCCTGGAGGCGCCGGTCAGCCTTCTGTGGAAGAGCTTCCAGGGAGGGAGGTGGGTGTGGAGGGAGGTGAGGTGGTGACTGTTCTTACTTCTGACCAAGCCAGGACCAGCAGGCTGTGAGTGTGAGCGTGTGAGTGTGTGAGCGTGAGCCTGTGTGTGTGTGTGTGTGTGTGTGTGTGTGTGAGCGTGTGTGAGCGTATGTGTGTGTGTATGTGTGGGTGTGTGTGAGAGAGTGAGAGAAAGGGAGGGAGGGAGGGAGGGAGACAGACAGACAGACACACGGGAAGAGGGAGCCTGTCTCTCCTCAAAAAGCTCAATGTCCTCGTCCCCTCCCCTCACGGCTCAGGCCAGATGGAGAACCGCGTGTGGCAGGGGAGGTCAGGCTCTCTGGGGGCCTCACCGCTGGGGGGGGGGGGAGACTGGGGGCGCTGCAGGCTGGGGGAGGCTGGTGCTCCCAGTGGCTCCATTCTCCAGGCCACACACACAGCATTCCAGCAGCTCCTCCTGGCTGGCAGGAATAGCTGGGATTCCTCCCGAAGGAGCCAGCTCCCCGGGCTCCTGCCTTCTGCCTCAGCCAGCCTCAGGACTGCAGCATCTGGCTCTCAACCCCCCCCCCCCCCACACACACACACACCTGTCGGCGCCTCACGTGCACCCAATGGACCTCAGCACAGTGACCTCGGCCAGACCGGCTTCAGGCGGGGAGAACGGCTTGGCCAAGTTCAGCCCTTAGCTTCCCACGGGCATTCCTGGCCCCGTGCCTTCCTTTTCCCTCTGCGCAGCGAGAGAGTGACCTCTGACTGCCCTTGGATGGCTGTGTGGCTCCGCCCAGGCCTCCGCCCTTTCCCCTCCGGCCTGACCTCCTGCAGCAGGGAAGGCGGTCACCGCCGCCGTCCTCACCAGGAGGGCACACCTGCTCCCGCGCTCTGCTTACAGCTTTATTGAGTGCTTTGCAGGGAAGAGCAGGCTTCTCGGCGGGTGAGGGAACCCAGAGGCTATGTCCTCTAGGGGGCGATGCCGGGAGGACCTGAAATACCCAAGAGAGGAGCGTGAGGCTCTGCCCGGGGACAGAGCCAGGTGGCCAGTGGGCACTGGGCGATGCCAGGGGAGGGGGCCCCAGGGGCGCTCGGGGAGGAATGGAGCTCCGGTGGCCTTGGGCTCTGCACTGGGCGGGCGACAGAGGACCGGGGGCACCGTCCCATCCACGGGGCCCGCTTGCCTGAGGGGGGCGCTCTGGGAGCGGATCTGAGAGGGGCAGCTCTGGGATGTGCTGAGAGCGCTCAGCGTTGGGGACAGGAGGACGTAGCGGGGAGTCGGGGGTCAGGAGAGAATGGGGGTGGAGGAGCACAGAGGCTCTAAGTGGGGGCGCTCCGGGGACCCCCGCCCCGCCCGAAGCCCGCGCCTCACCCAGGTCCGGGTGCTCCAGAATGCAGTGCGCTACGTAGGCCGGGTTGCTGTGCAGGTCCCTGCATTTCTTGCAGAAAAGGATCTCGCAGAGCTCACAACCCCCGCCGCACGGCTGCTGCGGCTGCTGGGTCTGCAGCACGCACGGCTCCTCCTCCGCGGGGTTCCGCCTCCTGCCGTGCGACCGGGCCCCCTGACGCTCGGGGCTCCGCGCCGGGCCCGGGGAGCCCCCCTCACCGGTCCGCCGGCCCCGGGGTCCCCCTCACCGGTCCGCCCGGCCCCGGCGCCCCCTCACCGGTCGGCCAGCGCCGCGGGGCCGCGCAGCAGGGCCAAGGGCAGCAGCCAGCTCCAGAAGCCGCTGTCCGCGCGCCGCAGCAGCGCCACCTGCTGGGCGCTGGGCTCCTGGCGCAGCGGGCTGTACGACACGGTCTCCCGCTCCTGGGCGCCCTCCGCCTCCCGGGCCTCCGCCTCGCCCTGCTCCGCGCTCTCCGCAGGCTGCCTCCCCTCGTCCTCCTCCTCCGATCCCGACTCCTCCGTCTCCTCCTCCCGGACCCCCGGCTCCTCCGGCTCCTTCTTCCACAAGGGGGTCTTCACGCCTGCGGGCGGGGCGGGCGGAGAGGAGGTCGTACCCTGACTGTGCTCACAACCCGACTCTTTCCCCGCACCCTATCCACCCCTCCACCCCCCAAAAAAAGCTCCTTAAAGATGGTGCGTACGGAGGAGCCAGCAGGACTCCAAGAGAAAGTTACAGCCTGCCTGGCTGCACCCCGCATCACCCCCACCCTGATTGCCCAGGTTTCTGCACTTCCTAGGATTTGAGACAAGTCACGCTGCTTCTGTCTAGTTCCCTTTGCTCGCCTGTCAAATGGGGAAAGTAGTGCCTATTTCAGGGGTGGTTGTGAGGCAGGTATGAGATCGCCCAGCTGGGCCAGCGGGAAGCAATGAACAGGAGGCAGCAATGAGACTTTCGAACCTGGAACCAATGAGGGCTCACCCCCTCCTTTCTGACTGGCTCTAGGGTGGGCACTGGTCTGTGGTGGTCAATAAACATCTATCAATAAACATCGTGTCTGGCCTGAATCCTAACACGTGGTGGTTTGTTTTGTTTTCTAGATGATTCTTCCCTCTTCCAAGGGGGCCTTGCCTTAAGGAAGCCCAGCATCACCTGTGGAGGGCTGGGTGGGCAGCGGGCACAGAGCACCTCATTGGTTAGAAAAAGGTGCCTCCAATGAGCAGAGCAATTAGGAAAAAGCGTCTCTTTCTCCTTCAAGGCATGACCCCGATGGCCAGCCTTGGCCATCAGATTCAGCTGCCACAGACCCCTCTTGTCGATGCCTTTGTTCAGGGCACAAATCCCACGACTCTAAGCCCCTGCAGAGGCAGGAAGTTCCTGGGCCGACATGGAGAGTAACCACCTGCGTGACTGGGAGGTGTCCTGCCTCAGCAGCAAACACCAGCCCAGCGCCCTCCGGTGCCCTGCTGTCCGCTGGGCCTGGGGAGCTGGCCTTGTGATGGAAAGAAGTGGGAGGGGTGCCGAAACGGTTTGGCTCAGTGGATAGAGCATCGGCCTGCGGACTGGAAGGTCCCAGGTTCGATTCCGGTCAAGGGCATGTACATTGATTTCGGGCACATCCCCGGTGGGGGGCGTGCAGGAGGCAGCTGGTCAGTGTTTCTCTCTCATCGATGTTTCTAGCTCTCTATCCTTCTCCCTTCCTCTCTGTAAAAAATCAATAAAATATATTTAGAAGAAGAAGAAGGAAGAGGAGGAGGAGGAGGAGGAGGGGGAGGAGGGAGAGGATGACAGAGAAGGCACAACGCTGGGGGTTTGCCCCGGAAAGGTGAAGGAAATCTGCCATGGATCCCTGCCTGACCTAAAGAGATTGGAGATGAAGGGAAACCGTGATAAAATTAGCATTCTAGCTCGCCTGTCTTAAGCACCAATTATATGCAATCACCACCCTAGGCTCTCTCTTCAGACACCGTGTTCCCTCATCGTCACAACGCCCTCAGCGAGGTGCCGGATGAGGTAGGTCACAGAGGGCCCTGCGAACTTCATCTAAGATTTTTGGAAACCTTCCAAGAAAAGTTGTTCTCTCTTCAAAGATTCTGCCCGTTCTTGGAGCTCTGTGGTTGTGAGAGGCCAGACACACTGCACAGCCAGAGAGGGGCGCTGGGGACTTGGCAGGAGGAAGGGAAATTGGAGGGAAAGGTTGGGACTTGGGTAAGGTGACCAGACATCCTGCTTTTGGTGGGACAGTTCCGATTTTCAACAATGTGTCCCGCGTCCCACGGCGTTTTAAAAAAGTCCCGATTTTGGAGGGAAAAATCGGGACTTTTTTAAAACGCTATGGGACAAATTGTTGAAAATCGGGACATCTGGTCACCTTAGACTTGAGGTGCCGGGCCATGGCGTGTGGACTTTGGTAGCATGTGAAGTTCACAGAGGCATTTAGCAAAGGGTCCAGAGCCAAATTCAGGTGTTTGGACTCCATCGCTGTGCCCATTTCCTCCCCTCCACAGTGCTCGCCAAGCACCAAAGGCCACAGCCCTTCCGCAGCGGAAACAGTGTTCTGATGCAGGGACACGTGCAGAGCTGTGTTGTAGGAAGACCCACTGTGGTCCAGGCCAGGGAAGATAGAAATCTGAATCACAGGAGGTAAAGAAGAGGGAGCAGATAACAAGAATATTCAGGCCGAAACCGGTTTGGCTCAAGTGGATAGAGTGTCGGCCTGTGGACTGAAGGGTCCCAGGTTTGATTCCGGTCAAGGGCACGTACCTTGGTTGCGGGCACATCCCCGGGGGGGGGGGGGGGAATGTAGGGGGCTGCTGGCCGATGTTTCTCTCTTATTGATGTTTCTAGTTCTCTATCCCTCTCCCTTCCTCTCTATAAAAAAATCAATAAAATATATTTAAAAAAAGAATATTCAGGAAACAGAAAGGAGAGGGCTTGTACGTGGATGGGAATAATCTTAAAAAGGCTGGGCTTGCTACTCTGGGGTTACCATGGTGATGAGCTGGTTGGTCCACCCTGTAGTCAAGAGACCCTTTCCTCTAGTCTCTCCCTGCCTCCAGCCCCACTTACCGTCCTTATCCATCCTTCCCAAGGCTATGCTGCCTGCTTCTGATCAGAGCCTAGGATGAGAGGAAGGAGCAGACCTCGTAGAACTTGCTCTGGTCTCTAGGGCTTCCCTTGGATTACCTGGGCGGGGCTAGAACCTCACCTGCCCACATGGTTCCGCTCAGGAATCTCTGCCTTTTCTCGGCCTCCGAAAGCACCCAACCTCAGATACCCCCCACCTCCCTCCTGAAAGGGCATTATGAAAAGACAGTAGAACCGGGACCGGTTTGGCACAGTGGATAGAGCGTCGGCCTGAGGACTGAAAGGTCCCGGGTTCGATTCTGGGCAAGAGCATGTACCTTGGTTGTGGGCACATCCCCAGTGTGGGGGGGGGGGGTGCAAGAGGCAGCTGATTGGTGATTCTCTCTCATCGATGTTTCTATCTCTCTATTCTTCACTCTTCCTCTCTGTGAAAAATCAATAAAAAATATTAAAAAAGAAAAGAAAAGACAGTAGAGGATGGGTTCAAACCTAGCTCTAGCACATATATGTATTTATTTTATTTTTTGTTAATCCTCCCCTGAGGATATTTTCCCATTGATTTTTAGGGAGAGTGGGGAAAAGGGAAAGAGAGAAACATTGATGTGGGAGAAACACATCGATCGGTTGCCTCTGACCAGTGCCAGGGCCCAAGGAGCCCACCACCAAGGTGCATGCCCTTAACCGGATTGAACCTGGGTCCCTTTGGTCCACAGGCCGACACTATTCACTGAGCCAAACCGGCGAGGGCTCTAGCACATAAATATAAACAGTGTCTGGCCCTCGCCGGTTTGGCTCAGTGGATAGGCCTATGGATTGATGGGTCCCAGTTTGATTCTGGTCAATGGCACATGCCGGGTTGTGGGCTTGACCCCCAGTAGGGGGCGTGCAGGAGGCAGCCAATCAGTGATTCTGTCTTATCATTGATGTTTCTATCTATCTCTCTTCTTTTCTGAAATCAATAAAAAAAAAAATGTTTATTTATTTATATATTTTTTTTTGAGAGGAAGGGAGAGAGAGCTAGAAACGTCGATGAGAGAGAAACATCGACCAGCTGCCTCTTGCACAACCCCTACTGGGGATTTGCCCGCAACCAACGTACATGCCCCTGACCGGAATCGAACCTGGGACCCTTCAGTCCACAGACCGACACTCTACCACTGAGCCAAACCGGTTTTGGCTATATATATTTTTAAAAAGGTGTCTGGTTTTCAGCATGTTCTTCCTCTGACCCTCAGCCTCTTCCTCTGTAAACCAGATGTTCTGGCAGGGACTGAGGAATGTGGGGAGGGGACGGGACCTGGTCAGCCCGGTGGAGGCAGCTGAAGCCAGTGGCGAGGCTGCCAGAGCTTTCACAATGGCTGTTCCCTCTGCCCAAGTGCCCTGCCCCCAGAGACCTGCAGGTCCTGCTCCCTTACTTCTCTCAGGTTCAATAGCATCCCATCCGTGAGGCCTTGCCTGCCCACCTCATATAAAATCCCTCTCACACCCATCGCTTCAGTCCTTCATTTTTCTCCCGGTGTTCCGCACCATCTGACTCCCTACAGATTTATGTGTTTGCCATTTGTCAACCAGCACCCATCAACATCCAAGCAGCCTCCATCGAGACAGGGGCCTCTGCCGAAACCGGTTTGGCTCAGTGGATAGAGCGTCGGCCTGCGGACTGAAGGGTCCTGGGTTCGCTTCCGGTCAAGGGCATGTACGTTGGTTGCGGGCACATGCCCAGTAGGGGGCGTGCAAGAGGCAGCTGATCGATGATTCTCTCTCATGGATGTTTCTAACTCTCTATCCCTCTCTCTTCCTCTCTGTAAAAAATCAATATAATATATTAAAAAAAAAAAAAGTCAGGGGCCTCATTGGCTGCTCTACATTTAGGCCTTTAATACTATCCGGCACACAGTAGGTACTCAAGACATGCTTGTTGAGTGAATGCCTTTCTGTGGCCCTGGGGTGAGGAGCTATGAGTGATGGCCCACGGTGGAGGAATCCCGTGGGTAGTGTTAGGGTCGTGCAGATTCTCAAAAGAAAGGGGACGGGGGTCCTGGTGTGGAGACGAGGATGCTGGGAGAATCACCGAGAGCTGGGACCCGCCCTGTCCCCAGCGTGGGTGCTCTTACAGTCTGATACGTTCCACACACATCACACCTTTATTCCTCACCCTCGCAACACCCCAGAGAGGCAGACAGTGGCATCCCCATTTTACACTTGGGAAAACTGAGGCACAGAGAGGCTAGGTAGCATAGGAAGGTCACAGAGGGCTTTAGCAGAGGGTCCGGGGCAGACGCATGCCTTTGGACCCTGTCCCTGTGTTTATTCACCCCCATCCTCCAGTGCTCACTAACCACCCAGCACCCCCTGCCCTGCTTCCTTGTCCCCCTGCCCCAGCAGCCTCCACGTGTTCAACCCCACGTTTCCTCCTCTCCCAGCTCCAGGGCGGGCTCTGCAGGGCAGTCCTCGCCTGCCAGGAAGAGCTGCCAAGGAGTGTTTGTAGCAGCCGCTGTCTCCAAGGAGAGGAGAGGAGAGTGGAGAGGCCACGCCGGGCTCCACTGAGGTCCGGCTGGCGGTGGGGGGCGGGAGGCAGCCGGCGGGACCAGCCCAGCCCTGGAGGCGAGACAGGAGCGTCCTCACGTCCATCCGTCCATCCGTCCTGGCAGGGGGCGAACGCTGGGTCCACTGGGCAGCCAGAGAGGGAGGGTGCTGCAGGACCACCCAGCAGGGAAGGTTCTGGCAGGTTCTGAGGAATGTGGGGAGGGGACGGGACCTGGCCAGCCCGGTGGAGGCGGCTGAAGCCTGTGGCGAGTGGCAGAACCTGAAATCAGAGGCTCTCAGAGGGCAGAAGGGGAGCCGGGAGTCAGGGAGACCCAGCCAAGACACAGCAGGTGGCAGGAGGGAAGACAAAGCAGAGGGAGAGAAGCGGCGCCCTCTTCCTCCTCTCTCTCCTCCCTCTCCTCTCCCTCCTCCCCCTTTTCTTCCTCCTCTTCCTCCTCTTCTTCCTCCTCCCCATCCTCCTCCCCCTCCACTGAGGGCCAGGCCAAGCCATGTCCCAGCGAGGGGGACGCAGGAGGAGGCCTGGGGCCCGGGGGCCTCCGCTGTGCAGCGTCCGGCCCTTTAAGTCCAGCGAGCAGTACCTGGAGGCCATGAAGGAGGACCTGGCCGAGTGGCTCCGTGATCTCTACGGGCTGGACATCAGCGCCGCCAACTTCCTGCAGGCGCTGGAGACGGGCCTGGTGCTGTGCCGGCACGCCAACGCCGTCACCGAGGCCGCCCTGGCCTTCCTGGCTGCGGCGCCCGTCCGCGCCCGGAGGGTTCCCGTGCCCCGGGCCCGGGTGACCTGCAATGACGCCGCCCGGCCAGGCACCTTCCAGGCCCGGGACAACGTCTCCAACTTCATCCAGTGGTGTCGCCAGGAGATGGGCATCCAAGGTACCCGCCCTGGCCCTCCCCGGCCCCAGACCCTCACCTTGCAGGGCGTCCGCCTCCTCTCTGGGGCCCAGGCCGCACTGAGGGTCCAAAGCCAGGGTCCTCCTTCCAGCTCATCCCTTTTCATCCTTCAGTTTCCCCACCTCACAGTGAGCCCTCCACAAAGAAAGGTGTTCCCGGAATGATTCCTTCATTCCCCCAGTACCTCTCTCCTTTGTGGGGAGCACCGAGCACGGAGAGCTCCGATCCCCAGCTCCAAGGAGTTCAGGGTCTAGGGATGGAGACGGATGGGAGCGTAGATGCGTGAATCACAGCTCGTTGGGATAAAAGCTCAGGAGAGGTGAGGGGGAGCTGGGAGGACACAGCTTCCTGATGAGGTGGGAGGTGGGGGCAGAGGGAGGCCGCACGGAAGAAGGAAATCTGAGCTGAGTCTTGAGGCATGAATCGTGGGGGGAAAGGGGGTTCTAAGCAGGGGACCCGCAGGGGCAGGACAGTTTGGGGGCTGGGAGAGGCTGCCGTGGGTGACGGCCAGGGCTGGGGTGAGGTGCTGAGAAAACTGGAGGAAGTGCTGGACCTTCAGGAGGGGCCGGTCATGCTGGGGCCTGTGAGACTCAGGGGAGTGGGTGTCAGGGTCCCTCACCTCCGTGGCCTGGTTCCCAGCAGCAGAAGGGAGCTGGACGTTGTGCCAACCTCCAGGCCAACGCGGTGGGTGTGAGGCAGAGGGGAGGGTTAGGCCGGGCTACTGGCTGGTGGCAAGGCGGTGAGGGGCAGGGTTGGGGGGGGGGGGAATCAAGGCTAGTGTTTGACTGAACACTTACTATGTGCTGGACTTTGCAAACACAGCAACCCCATGAAATAGACTATATCCCCATTTCACAAAAGACTGAAGGCCCAGGGACTAGCCCAAGGTCACCCAGCGGGCGGGTGGGAGTGTCCAAGGATCCCTGGCGGTCAGGCTCCCAGGCCTCGTCCTCAGCCCTGCCTCCGGATACCTGGGCTGGAGGCGGAGGAGGAGATGCCTGGAGGTGAGAGGAGGAAGCAGAACGAACCTTTCTGCTCTGGACTCACCGTCTCACAGCCGGGCCCCAAGCTCCTTGGCTTGGCTGTGTCCCTTCTTCCCGTGCCCAACCCGCCCTCTCCTGTGGGATACCCCACCTTGTCTGCACCCCGCGCCCCAGCCATCCTGCCCAGGCCCTTCGCAGGCGCTGGTTTCAACTGGGATCCTCGGACCCAGACCGGCCAGCAGGGGCTCAGAGTGCCGGACACCCTCCCTCCTCTCCCCCTCCCCGGCCAGAGGTGCTGATGTTCGAGACGGAGGACCTGGTGCTGCGCAAGAACGTGAGGAGCGTGGTGCTGTGTCTGCTGGAGCTGGGCCGCCGCGCCTGGCGCTTCGGGGTGGCGGCGCCCACCCTGGTGCAGCTGGAGGCCGAGATCGACGAGGAGCTGCGGAGGGAGCTGGCCCTGCCCCCGCCCGACCCCCCGCCGCCGGCGCCGCTGCGGCGCAGGCCCTGCCACTTCCGCAACCTGGACCGGATGGTGCGGCCCCTGCACTGCCCTCCAGCCCCGCCCTCCTGCCTCCTCCTCCTGTCCCCTCGGGGCCACCCCCTGTCTGAACGCCTGTGCCCACCCCACACTGATCCACAGAGTGGTTTTAAGTCTCAACCCTAACCACACACAGTAGCCCAGATTACGTTTTTTTTATTATTAACTCAGTAGTCTGCGCTTCGCTCATTCAACCCCCATGAGAGAGTTTTTTTTAAGAACGCAGTCCCTGGTACCATCTCTGACACCTGGGATCAAGCCTGAGTCCCGCTGCTTTGCAGCTGTGTGACTTTGGGCAAAGTACTGAACCTCTCTGTGCCTGCCTTCCCTGCCTGCGGCTGGGGTAGTAGTAACGGTGCCTGGCTTCTATGCCTCACAGGGGTATCAGAGACGAAAGTCCGTATGACGGGCTCAGGACAGTGTCTGGCAGAGGGCGCCTGGCATAGGAGTTAGCTCTTCTGTGATTAGCCCCGTTCTACCACCGAGGAATTGGGGTCCGAGAGGTTCCTTAACTGGCCACAGCCTATGACACGGTGGAGGCGGGACGCTGACCCTGCCAGAGCCTGTCAGATTCCAAGACCCACCGTCTTCACCATGTCACCATTCCACTCCACCACCCCCATCAGCTGACCCCGAGGGCGCTGGGCCATAGGTGACCACTCCGGGCCTTGTTCCTGCTGAGTCATTAAAAGTCTTTCCCACTCACTTCTCAGCCCCAGCCCTGACCTCAGCAGAAGCCTTGGACTGGCTCTGGGGAGGGGAATGTCCTCCATTGGGCTTGGCTTGGCATTGGCGAGGGGAGGGTGGGGGGAGGGGTTTGGGCACATGTGCAGGAGGACTGAGCCCATGCCCACCGCCTGCAGGTTCAGAGCCTCGTGAGCCACTGCACATGCCCAGTTCAGTTCTCCATGGTCAAGGTGTCCGAGGGGAAGTACCGTGTGGGGGACTCCAACACCCTCATCTTCATCCGGGTAAGTGTTGGGACTGAGGTGGAAGGGCCCCAGGGCCCGCAGACTAGGATTTCCTTCCATGGGACCCTGCGCAGGCCTGAGGGCTAGAATAGGAAGTCACCATTCATCCTAACGTCCCAGGTCTTGAGGCTTGCTTTCTCTCGCTGGAAAAATTCCAGAAGATTCCTTACAAAGCTGGCAAGCCTATCCCCTGCTTCCCCCATCAGGGCAGCCAGGACCACCCCCACCGTCTGCCTCCAATTTAGCCTGATTCTGAGGGGTCTCCAGGCAGACGTGAGGTATGCAGGGTCCTCCCAACTTCCATCACCTCCACTCCACCTGCAGGCTTGGTCAGAGCAAGGGGCTTGAGAATCCCAAGTTTGGGTCCAGTGCATGGCCCAGCCACAGGGACCTCAGAGTTCACCCCTCAGATGCCTGGCTTGGTACATTCTGCACTCGGAGCAGTAGTACCGGCTGAAACGTGCCTCCCGCTACCTCCTCCACGCTCCATACCTGGCTGTTCCTCTGCAGAGACAGTCTGTGCCCAGGGGAGTGGCCTGCAGCTCAGGGACTTGGCCAAGCCCTTTAGGGCACAGGCCACAGCTGGGGACAGAGCCAGCTCCCTAAGCCCTCACCCAGGCCCTGAGCCAATAGCCCTGGGAAGGCGGTTGGGGCAAGGAATGGTGGCCTTGAGTGGAGTGGGGCAGAGAGTCCCCCGGATTCTTTGACACACACACACCGCAGAGCCAGGATCCCATTTCTAATACAAGGATGCGCAGGGGGACCCCTTTCCCATGAAGGGAGGGGAGAGGGCTCTGCGCGGCCAGATGGCACAATGCTTGTGCGATGCCTGGTTTCCTTGTGGGACAACTTCCTGTTTGACCTGCCTCCATCCTTGACAACTTGTGTTATCTGATGGCCATCACAGAGGAGACTCAGGTGGCAAAATATGCACACGCCCCGCTACAAGGGAATATTTGCATGTGTGCATGGGTGGGGCGTGTGCTGGGAGCCTGCAGGCTGGTCCAGAAAGAGGACACACTCTCCGTTTTGCCCTCCACCTTCTACTCGCTCCCTGCAGGTCCTCCGGAACCACGTGATGGTGCGAGTCGGGGGCGGCTGGGACACCCTGGGCCATTATCTGGACAAACACGACCCCTGCCGGTGCACATCCCTCTGTGAGTCCCTTGAGAATCCCCTCCCTGCGCTCTGGGTTGGGAGGCTGGAAGTGGGAGGTAGGTATGAACCCCAGGGGCAAAAGGTGTGTGTGGGGGGAGGTGGGGATATGGAGAAGAGAAGATGCTATAGAAGGTACAGGCGTGGTGCCGCCTCAGCCCTAGAAAGCAAGCTGAGCAGGCATAGTGCAATGCCAATTCTAGCCACAAGATGACGCCACACACAGAGAATCAGCATTTTGGTCAGGGGGCATCTAGGCAGGGCTTAGGTCTGGCTGTGAAGTCCACAGCGGTGGCACCAAGCATGACCTGGAGGGGTCTTGAGTGCCCCAGTAATCTCCACCAGCACCTCAAGCCCCCTGATAAGCATCCGTTGTAAGTAAAATATGTGAACTTGCAACACAAATGCTGCTTTAAGTAAGTCCCCTGCTGAGCCCTCGCACCAGGTTTCACCCCCCCAGCCCCGATAAGAGCAATCCTGGCACTGGTGCTGTCCCTGTCCCTGTGGGTCCCACTGTCTCTAATGTGGGGCGAGGTGTGTGGGAACAGCTGTGGCGAGAGCCAGCAGCAGGAACGTCATCCTCTCCTCCTCTCCTCTCCGGGGGGCTGTGCTGGTAGCACACAAGCCACGCAGCTTCCTGAAGCCCCCAGCCCCGCCGGTGCAGCACGAGGTGCGGGTGCTGGATGGGCCCTGGCAGCCGCAGCCGAGGATGACGGTCAGCCGCTCTCAGAGCCCGCCGCCCCCTGTGGACTGGAGGACGTACACCTCTTCGGGCCGGAAGCTGAGGCCCCCCGCCTCCTCCCCCACGCCTCGCCGTGAACGGGGAGCAGGGGCGGGGGCCCACAGAGAGGCAACGCCATTCCTAAGGTACAGGGGAGCGGCGGCAGGGCCTCTTTCTTCTCCGGAGCCCACATCCTCAGAGGACCCTCCCCCCGCCCCGAGATAAAGGGAATGAGTCTCCTGGCAGTACCCGTACCCCAACAAGAACTCTGGCGTTCAGAACCAAAAAAACAAACAACAAAAAAAAAGCACCCAATACCTGTGGGATTATCTAGTGACTCCAGGTGCTCCCATTTCACAGAGGGGGAAGCTGAGGCCCATAAAAGGAACAGGCTTAGGCAAGGCCTTTCTGCCGTTTCATGGCAGAGCAGACGCGAGGACTCCCCTGCCCCCCAAGACGGGTGACCCGTATGGCTGGGTTTGAAGTAACCCGGGGTGCAGACCAGGCTGCTTTCCACCGGCTGCAAGGGGACGATGGAGAATAAAGTTGAGCGGTATTTGCCATTAAGGCAGTGGTCGGCAAACTCATTCGTCCACAGAGCCAAATATCAACAGGACGGCGATTGCCATTTCTTTGGAGAGCCACATTTTTTAAAACTTAAAACTTCTTCTAACGCACCTTCTTCAACATAGATGCGCCCAGGCCGTGGTATTTTGTGAAAGAGCCACACTCGAGGGGCCCAAGAGCCGCATGTGGCTCGGGAGCCGCAGTTTGCCGACCGCTGCCGTAAGGAATACCCTTGGACAGACGCAGAGGGAGAGGGAATATGTGTTTCCTTCCACATGACGGCCGGCCCCTTGGAGTTCTGGTTGGGGAAAGGCCATCCCTCCCCAGGGCCAGGGGCTGGACTGGGTGACCCTGCCAGCCTAACGATTCTCCCTTTCAGGAGCCAGGAGAGGCCACCCACCCCACCTCCGAGGCGGCTGCCAGCTGAGGACAGCTCACCCAGACCCCAATCCTCACCCACCCCCAGGGGCCGAGACCCACAGTGCACCTCCTCAGGGAGGAGGGCGGAAAGACACCCCTTTGAACTCCCCAGGGGAAGGACTCCTACGTCTTGGGTTCATGGGGAGACAGACAGCTGGGGAACCCATTCCAGGGCCTCCACCCCCCAGAGACTCCGAGCCCCTGAGGCTACTGCCCCAGGGATGCCAGCACGAGGACCGTCTCCCCTGCCTGGTTACTCCAGTCCCTCAGCCAGGCCCCCGGGCTCCAGGAAGCCGCCTCGGGGGGATGCTCCCTCCCAGCTCAGGGAGCCAGTGCCTGTCCGTCCTCCATCCCCTGCTAAAGGACCCACCGGGACCGCTGTCCAGCGGGCCCCCGCCCGACCGCCCACTCCAGGAGGCAGCCGTCCAGGTACTGCGCGTAGAGGTCTCACCACAGACCGGGAAAGAAGCTCCAGGCCACCCGGGGCCGCCGCTGGAGTGCTGGCTGGGCCCAGTCGTGGTGGGGACTGCTCGGTGGAAGGAAGGCCAGGGGTCCGGAAGCTGGACATCTGGGTGACAGCAGAAGCTGAACAGTCTCGGGGCCTGGACACGCCTCTGACCCCGGGCGGGACCCGGAAGCCAGCCATCTGCCACAGTCTTGAGGAGGAGCTTTTGGCCGACATGAAGCTGCTAGAGGTGGGGACTACCCACCCCCAGGGCCCAGGTTCTGGCCTCATCCCTCGCAGTGGAGTCTACGTCCCCGGCCTGGGGGGGCGGTGGCCTGAGCCTGGGGGTCCTTATGACGAAGTCATCCAAGAACTGGCGCGGGACCCTCCCCCCCTCACTAAAGTGGACCTGGGGGCCTGGAAGGCCACCCCTCCGAACTCCCCTAAGCTGGCAGTTACCACGGGCCCAGGAAGCCCAAGAGGGAAACTGGGAGCCAGAGAGAGTGGGCGAAGGTCAAAGGCAGCCCTGAGTGCCACGGACGCCGGGATGAGGAAGGTCCCAGCTCCAGGAGGGCAGGACCGCTCAGCCCCTCCCGTGGGTGCCAGCCTGGAAGCCCCCGCACCTTCGCCCTTGGACCCAAATTCGGACAAAGCCAAGGCATGCCCAGCCAAGGGCAGGAGAGCACTGCGGAAGCCCAAGAGAGTACCGTCTATCTACAAGCTGAAGCTGAGGCTCAGAATCCGGCCCCGGAGAGACCACAGGCCTGAGAAGCAGCCCTCGCGAATCCCTAAACCCCTGGCCTACCTCCGCCTGGGTCCAGCCAAGGCGCCCCCTAGCGGCAGGCTGGAAAGAGCGTCAGCGCTGGGCAGGAAGGGAGGGGAGGCAGCCCTGGTGGATGGAGCCTGGGCAGGGGAGAAAGAGGAAGGAAAGGAGGAGAAAGAGCCAGCCATTCCACGGGAGAGCAGACCCCAATGTACAGAGGGCCTGGGGCCTCAGCGGCTGGATCCACTCCCTCCCGAGGAAGAGTCCTGGGTCTAAGGAGGGGCTTCACATCCTGGGGCCAGTGAAAAGAATGCCCAGGTAGCCACTGGGATCCCAGCTGCGGGAACAGAAGGAAGGGTCCCTCACCTCGATGTAGGGCCTTGTCCAGGAGGGGTCAGAAGACAAACAGAGCATCCATCAACTCAGACTAGCAAATGGGACCACCCATCACCTCCATCCCAACTCCAGAATTGGGATAGAGGCAGCGGGGCCACCCTGTATGGTATCGCCCTCCCCCAGAACAGCTCCCCAAACTCCTGTCCTCAGGCCATGCCCACTGTTTCCACAATGTCTGTAAGTTATTAAACACGGTGGGTCTGTCCTTGAGTGCCCAGCTTGAGTTGCTCTCTCTAGGGCTGTAGTGATGCAGGAAAGTGTAGCCTCAAATATTCTCCTCTGGAGGGAAGAGGATGGGGAGGGAGCTGGGGTGAGAGAGGCGGTCTTTCTCTCCTGAGGTTCAGCCAGCCTTGCCCCCAGATTGCCCATCTCCTGGAGGTGGCTGGTGCGTCAGCACCACGGACAGGGGCAACGGCCACCAACACAGGCTCCTGGGAGACTTCAAAGCTCGGCTCTGGGGCTTGGGGACTGAGAGCCCTGGAGTCCAGAGGGATGGTTACCATATCCACATCCCTTTGTTATGGCAAAGGGATCACAGAGGCTCCGTGGGAGTGAGACAGAACCTGGGGTTGAGCCCAGTTATGCAAGGTGTCCTGAGGACAGCAGAGGGAGATGTGCTTCCCTCTGGAGGGTTTTGGTCAGTGGTAAGGCTCAGTGGTAGGTGGAGTGGAGGTGAGTCCCATCCTCTTCCCCGTGGTCCTTCTGGTTGCCCTGAGCCCCCAAACTCAGGCCACCCCAGCACCTGTGCCCAAGAGAGCGCTGTAGGGAGCCCCTTCCTTCCCAGCCTCAGACACGGAGCCGACACCTTGGTACAGAAACAAGGGAAAACACTCCCTGATTTTTAATCTGACTTCCGTTCACAGCGCAACGGGCGTCGCTCACACTTCCAGACCCTGTGGTGGGAAACCCTGGGTGGGTGGGTGGGGGGAGGCAGGGAGAAGGACAGAGACTCAGAATGGGGGGTGGAGGAAACAGAAACCAAAGACCTGGGTGAGCCGAGGGGGTGAGGTGGGACGGGCAGGCAATACATTCCAATGGCTCCCACGGGGGCAGCCAGAGACTGAGGAGCCTCAGAGCTGGGGGCGACGGTGGTGATGAGATGCTGCCATCCCTCACCCTGTCCCCCTGGTGAACCAGGGAGCGGGATGCAGGGATGGAGGGGGCAGGCCCTCTTCCGTACCCTCCCAGCCACTCGGGATGTGGGGAAGGGGAGCCACCTCCTCTGCAGCAGAGGGCGGCTCCGAGGGCAGGTCACTTGCCCCAAGTCATGTAGCACAACGAGGACTAGACCCAGGGAGACCCCGGACGGCCCGGATCAGGGCGGTCATTGTCGGGCTGTGCTACCCAGGTGGGTGGAGGGGGAATCAGCTGGGAAATTCCTAGATTCCCTCTCCCACTAGATCTGGATGATAAACTCCCCACCCACAAACCCTCCCCCAGACTCCTCTCCATCACCGCTCTGGGCTACCTGATTTCCTGGTCTAGCCAACAACGCTGGGCCAGGTCAAGGCCGAGATGTCCTATCCGCCCCTCTTCTAACAAGGAACCCTGCCGTCCTCCCGTCAGCCCAGGGCTGAGGGCTCAGCCTCAAGGAGAACTTGGCCCGGGGGGCAGGGAACACGCCCCGTTTTGTGGCCTCCGGGTCCCCCAGGCATCCCTCAGGCTGCTCCTGGGACCTTCGTTATTTTTGTTATTTTCTAAGTCGATACAAAACGGACAGTGATCAGCTCTGGTGAGGAGAGGTAGAAACCCGGCCGGGCAGCCGGAGAAGACGGGGTGGAGTGAGTCAGGGCACAGGGCCAACCGGTGTTGGCACAGGAAGTGTAGATCCTGAGGGCCTCCATCCAGGAGGGGCGAGAGGAGGACGCGGGCCTATCTCCCTCGAGCAAGGGGGTCCCCATCATTCTTTTCCTGCCTCTACCCCTCCCTAGATTGACCAGGGTAACCTGAGATTCAAGCAGGGGCATCTGATTGGGGTGGATGGAAAAGCAGAGCCTTTGCTGGCACAACCTGGGCCCCAACCCCCACCCTGGGAACCAACCGCCCCCTCTCCCCCCAAGCTCCCCAAACCCAGCATCCCCCTATCTAACGCCACCCAATCCAGGAAGGAACAGGGGGCTGGAACCTGGCATCATGGGAGTAAACCTCTCCTTCGGGGGAGTTCCTCTCCACACTCTGCCAGGGGACAAAGTTTTAACCCAGGGGGTGACCTGGCTTCGGGGTCAGGAAGGGGATGGGGGGCACCCGGCAGGGACGGACCATCGAGTTAAGGCTGGAAGGTAGGTTGTTGTGTCTCGCTCGGGGCTGCTGGGTGGGGAGGTCTCCCTGGAGAGGGCAGAGCTCAGCTTTTGCCCCTTGACTAATCTGGGACCTCAACCCTTGGACCGGACCGAACCGAACCGAACCGAACGTGGTCCTAGGACCACCGGCTTCTCTCTGTCCTGCGCCGGTGGTGGTGCTGCCAGGCCAGAGGCAGCACCAGGACCTGCAACAGGAGGCGGGGCGGGGGGGGGGGGAGAAATGAGAGCCCTGTGAGCTGAGCTGGGGGCGGGAAGGAGGGGGGCCAGAGAGTGGGTGAGACCAAGAGACACTTGGGCAGACCGATGGGCACGGGAGGAAGGCGCGGGGCAATGAGAAAAACACTCTCTGGAGAAGACTGGAGGGGGACCGGCTAAGGCAACCCCTCCCCATGCCCACCCTCCGTTTCCTGCGCGCACCCCGATGATCCCAAAAGGCTGTGGCGCCCCTGGGGGCCCGGCTGGGTACTGCGCTCACCACAGCCCTCAAGGAGCCGTCCCAGGAAGACAGATGGGAGAGACAGGAGGACCCGGCCGTTTTAGGGGGGCTCCCTCTCGCCCCCCAACCCCCGCGCCCACCTCTCACCGGGAGGCGCGCGGCTGCGGGGGCGGACCAGGCCCGGGCTCAGCGTTCTCGTCCCGCCGCTCGCTGCTCAGGCCGGGCCGGCCCGGAGGAGGGCGCCCGGCGGCGGGTCCGGGCAGCAGCCTCGGCGCCCGGGGCGGCGGGCGGGCGGTCACATGACGGCGCAGCGGTTGCGGCGCAGCGCGCCCTGGAAGCGCAGCGCGGCGTGCACGTGCTTGCAGCGGGCGCAGCCGACGCTCTTGAGCAGCTCGCTGAAGAGCAGCAGGATGTGCCAGTTGTACTTGGCCGAGCACTCCACGTAGCCGCACTTCCAGGTCTTGCGCACCAGGTGCGACACGTTCCAGCGCGGGATCACGCGGCCGCGCTGCAGGTCCCGCTTGTTGCCCACGATGATGATGGGCGTCTCCGAGGTGCCGATCACCCTGGGTGAGGGGGAGGGAGGAGGGGGCGAGGGGGGACTCTCAGGACTCTTACCGGGGTCGCAGCCACTTGGACTGCCCTGGAGGCCGGCTGTGCCTGGCCAATAGCAGTGTTGCCATACGTCTGTCCCAGGCACATCTGGGGTTACGTTACATTCTCTAATCCGCACAGCTGATCCAAAAGGTGAGTACTGGTGTGTGAGCCCCATTTTACAGATGAGGAGCCTGAGGCTTACCCATTTCACTGACCCGGGCATGCAGCTGAGGGGCCCTGGCAGTCAGTCTTGTTCCCGGAGCCCCTGATCGAACCCCTGTATTAGACTCCCCAGGATAAGGGTCCCAGAATGAGTTCACAGAAATGGGGAACAGGTAACAGAAAATGTCATGAGTGTGTGTGTGTGTGTGTGTGTGTGTGTGTGTGTGTGTGTGACGGGATGTGTGGGACCTGGAGGGGACTCCATCTGCCCCCTTCCACCTCGCCCTTTCCCCGGGGACTGGCTAGCACTGAGGTGGCAAAGGACTGTATCCTGGGCCCTCACCTCGTCTCTAGGATCTGCTGGCGGATGGTCTTGACGTACTCAAAACTGTCAAAGCAGCAGATGTCGTAGACCAGGATGTAGGCGTGGACGCTCCGGAGTCCCCTGCAGCAGGCGTCTGCCCACTCCTGCAACACCCCAGTTAGGGCCAAGGTTAGAGCAGCCACGAGGGCTCCCCTTGTCCCCAGCCACCCCAGCCATAGACGGACAGCGCTCTCACCTGCCACTGCACCCTGAGCCTCTCACACCCACCTCTTCCCAGGAAGCCAGGGCCTGGGCCGAAGGGAGCTCAGTGCCGCGGCCTCCCCACCCCAAGCTGGGAGAGGGCAGGTCACACTGTCCGACCTCCAGGATCACTACATGGATCTGTGCATACCGGGAGCTGTTGAAATAGTCTCCATCTGTCCTAACCGGTTTGGCTCAGTGGATAGAGCGTCGGTCTGCAGACTGAAAGGTCCCAGGTTTGATTTTGGTCAGGGGCATGTACCTTGGTTGCAGGCACATCCCCAGTGGGAGGTGTGCGGGAGGCAGCTGATCGATGTTTCTCTCTCACCAATGTTTCTAACTCTCTATCCCTCTCCCTTCCTCTCTATAAAAAAATCAATAAAAAAATAGTCTCTATCTTTAAAAAAATAATTTCAGAGAGAACGGGAGAAGGAGAGATAGAAACATCAATGATGAGAATCACTGATGGGTCGCCTCCTGCGTGGCTCACCGCTAAGTATCAAGCCCACTACCCGAGCATGTGCCCTGACTGGGGAATCGGACCATGACCTCCTGGTTGATAAGTGGATGCTCAGCCACTGAGCCATGCCAGCTGAGCAAAACAGACTCTAACTCCTAAGCTTTAGCTCAAATGCCTCCTCCTCCAAGAAGCCTTCCTACAATCTACTCCCTTAATCTCCTGTGTGTATATACCTTGGTTACAACTGTTTCCATCTCCAGACCCCCCCACTTCTGTGAGCTCCTGAGAGAAGCACAACCAAGCCATCCTCATTTTTATGTAACTCCTCCTCCTCCTCTCCTCTCAGTACCTTGCACACTGTGTTGGCTCCTAGCAGGCTCCTTAAGGGGGCACTGCCTAACCTGGTGAGCTCTCCATGGTCCTGAAGCCAACTTAGTCCACACTAGGATCAGTGCAACTCCTGTCTGTCAGGCTGCCCTTAGGTTGCTATCTGATGTTCCCCTTCTGTAGGCTCCACTCTGCCCAGGGACAGAAGGAGCGGGTCTGAGAAGACTGAGACTGGATACATAGTCGGGGGTGGGGGTGGGTGGGAGGTGATGGACAGCAGGGCCCCAGGGAGCCGGAACTTCCTGAATGTTGGTGGCAAATTCTCAGGATGAGGTTGCAGCTCAAGAGGACTAGACCCATGGAAAGTCTGAGTGCACTAAAGAGGAAGTTCCTTAAGAATTAATTAACTTGCCAGCAGATGGCAATTGCAAGAGCAGTTGAAGGCAGCCAGTGTGTGGAAAGAGGATGGACTCTGAAGTGGGGGAGGCCTCCGGGCCAAGGGGAACCAGGGTCTTTTCCTTGGAGGGGCCGGGAAAAGATGAGGAGGGGGCGCAGCATGTCTCCTGTGCCAGCTTGTGAGTTGAACTGGGGCAAAGGCGTCAGGAGGACTACGGCAGGCTCTCCACCTCGGAGAAGGAATAAAAAGGAGCGACTTTGGTGGTGGTGGTGGAAGAGTTGTGTCTGACTCCGCAAAGGTGCTTCCCAGCTCAGAGGCTGTGGCAGGAGAATGAGCTGGCATCTTTTCTTTGTGCTCTAACTTGGGTGCAGGGGGAAGACACCGAGGACAAAGCTAACACTGTAGGAAGCTGTTCACTGGCCTCCGGGGCCAGAGAATGCAGTACTCTGTCGGACGCCCTAAGCGCCAGGAGCCTAGGACCCACATTTGTACATGGTTCCTCCCCCAACCCACAGGGGAGTGGTTAGTGGCAAGTGGGAGGAATGGGGAAACAGGCCTCGAGGTGCCCTCCCTCCTCCAGCTCTCGGCTGGGGAGAGGGAACAGCTGCCAGCCTTCCAGGGTGACAGCCCCACCTCTTCCACCTCTTCCCCCACACGCTGACTCCTCAAGGGGCCTCCAGCCTGCCTCCCACCCCCTTCTCTCCAGAGGCTCCTAAAAGGGGGAGGAGGAAGGCTCCTGATTGGCTGGCTTGTCCCTTCGTCCCTGGTTGAAGGGAGGGAACAAGAAAGCTCAACTTTCCTTCCAGCTTGTTCTAGGAAGGGCTCCAGGTGGTCAAAGACCATCTTGGGGCCCTGTCAAAGCACAAGAAGGAGCGATGGAAACTGAGTCCAGCCCTGGCAGGTTTGGCCCAGTGGATAGAATGTCGGCCTGGGGACTGAAGGATTCTGGGTTTGATACCGGTCAAGGGCACATCCCCAGTAGGGGGTGTGCAGGAGGCAGCTGATTGATGCTTCTCTCTCATCAATGTTTCTAACTCTTTCTCTCCCTTCCTCTCTGAAAAAAAAAAAATCAATGAAATATATATATTTTTTAAAAAGAAACTGAGTCCAGTTCCAAGGACCTGGGAGATGAGGGAGGGAGGGAGGTTCAACACCTGGGCCTCACTCAAGCATTCGCTGCTTGAGCCCTCTAACCTCCGCTTCCTTCTCTGATAGGAAGGAGGAGAGGGGGCTGTGGGAGGGACGACTGAGGCTCAGACCCAGGAAACAGCACTCTCCTGGACTGATTTCACCTGGAATTGGGAAGGAATGTGGTTTTGTCCTATTGTCAGGTGGTGCCATTGGGATACTTGGGTTTTATATTTGTTACCTGTGCTCCTGGAGTGAAGTCTTGGACATCCTAAGGAGTCCAAAACTCAGGGTCAACCAGAAAGAAAAAGACCAACAATCCAATAGAAAGATGGGCAAAGGGCATTAATAATTGTCCGAAAAAGAAATATAAAGGCCCTTAAACGTATGAAAAGACGCTCAACTTCACTCACAATCAGAGACACAAATAAAAACTACACAGAGACTATCAAATCTCATCTATCCGATTGTCAGACAACACACTCTGATGGTAAAGCTTTGGGGAGACCTGGCTGGGTAGCTCAGTTGGTTAGAGCATCGTCTTGATACGCCAAGGTTGCGGGTTCAATCCCTGGTCAGGGCACATACAAGAAGCAACAAATGAATGCGTCATTAAGTAGAACAATAAATTGATCACTCTCTTTCTCTCCCAAATCAGTAACAAAAAAGGCTTTGGGGAAAACAGCGCTCAGATGGGGAGGGGAGTCTGACAACCTTCCAAACTCCAGGTGTGTTTATTCTTGATCTAAGCAATGCATTTCCAGAAATTCACTCCACGGGTTAGTCTCCTATGTGCTACATGACTGTGTACAAGGCTGCTCATCGCAGCACCCTCTGAACCAGCAAAAGATCGGAAACAACCCCCTTGTCCAACAAGTGGGGAGCTGCCTAGTACGTCTCTCCAATGGACTCCAGCGCAGTCACAAAAAAGAGCGAGATGACCCCTAGATACTGACATGGAAATATCTCCAGCTTATACCATTCAGTAAAAACAAAACAAAACAACAAAATAAAACAAGGTCCAGAACAGTGTTGTTTTTTAAATGTTAAGTAAGAAAGTGGAATAAGAACACATTTTCTTATTTGTGTAAAGAAACACTAGAAGTCTGAATAAAAAATCCCGAAAGTGCCCAAACCGGTTTGGCTCAGTGGATAGAGCGTCGGCCTGTGGACTGAAAGGTCCCAGGTTCGATTCCGGTCAAGGGCATGTACCTTGGTTGCGGGCACATTGCCAATAGGGGGCGTGCAAGAGGCAGCTGATAGATGACTCATTGATGTTTCTAACTCTTTCTCTCCCTTCCTCTCTGTAAAAAAAATAAATAAATAAAAATAAATCAATCAATAAAATACCGGTATATATATATATATATATATATTTTTAAAGTGATAAGCATTGAAGAAAAATATTTTTTTTAAAAATCCCGAAAGCAAGGAGAGTGAGTGGCTTCAGAGAGTGGGGCAAGAATCAGGGTGAAGCGGGCAGAGATGGGACTGAGATTTCTTGGGGTGCACCTTTTTACCAAGTTTGAACTTTTATTTTATTTTACTTTTAAATATATTTTTTGATTTTTTACAGAGAGGAAGGGAGAGGGATAGAGAGTTAGAAACATCAATGAGAGAGAAACATCGACCAGCTGCCTCCAGCACACCCCCTACTGGGGATGTGCCCGCAACCAGTGTACATGCCCTTGACCGGAATCGAACCTGGGACTTTTCAGTCCGCAGGCTGACGCTCTATCCACAGAGCCAAACCGGTTTCAGCCCAAGTTTGTACTTTTAAATCGCGTCTTACCTAGGCCAAACATGAAATTAAATTAAAATGAAATACACAATGAAACGTGAAAAGTACACAAAGCTTGATGTGCCAGCCTGGAGTGAGATCTGAGACTCAGGCTACTGTAAAGTCTCCTTTGGAGAGCTAGACCCCAACCCACTGCCCTGACCTCGCTGCCCCCGAGGAGGGGATGCCTGAACCAGGCTGTGGTCTGTGGTGCTGACCCCCCCCACCTGGGATGGCAGAAACAAGCGTCCATGAGGCTGGGCCCAGGCCCTCCTGCCCGGGGTTGCTGAGACAGTGCTGAGCCTGAGTCCCTCTCCAGCACTAGCTGCACAATTACAATTGGCCAACCCATGGCCCCTGCCTTCCTGTCCACCACTGTGCCTATCCTCCTTCCAGAGCAAAACCTCTGGCAAGGGCTGCCTTCCGTGAGCAAAGTGTCTTAGAGCTCCCCGGCACCCAGCCCCTCTGAAGCCAGAAGCAGAGAGAAGGAAGGAGGACTTGGTCCCTGCAAGCTTGGGGAAGGAGCACTGTAAGCTGAGGCTCTGGGGGCATCTGAGTCCAACCCCTGCAGGAAGGTGCCCAGCAGGCCAGTCTGGAGAGCAGGGGCAGAGCATCACGTAAGTGTAAAACCCCTTGGGCAAGAGACCTGTCTCTGAGAACACACCTTCTCCAGGTCTTGGCCTTTCCTTCTGCTGTCCATCTACTGACCTTTCTACACATAAATAAAGCTCATCAAATATCTGTAGAATAAACCAGCACACAATGGACTCGGGGTACGGCTCTAAGCATCCCTGGTGGCCCATGGTGCAGCGTGGAGCTGGAGAGGGTTGGAGTCCACTGTCCCCCTCTCCTCTCCCGGCCCCCCTCCCGTCGTGGGCCCTCGTACCTGCAGCGTGTTGACAGGGAAGGCGCTGATGGGCGGGAAGTCGAGGATCTGGAGGTCGTGCACGTGGCCGTTCATGACGACAGCAGGCAGGTAGAGGCGGCGGGTGGTGGTGGGCACACAGACCTCGCTGAACTCGTTGTACAGGAACTGGCGCACGATGGCACTCTTGCCCACGCCTCGCGCCCCCAGCACGGCCACCCGGTAGGTGGAGACCATGCCTCTCGCCCCGCGCCGCCACCGCGTCCTCGCCACTGCCTGGGGCTCCCCCGGGCTGCATATTCCAGGGGCTGGGGGCTCAGCCACCGTCAGGACCGGTCATTGCTGCCCCTGCCCGCCCTGGGCCCTCTGCGGCCTCCACCTGGACTGTGGGGACAAGAGGTGGGCTGGCTTTAGGGTCTGTGCTGAAGCAGCTCCGGCCACTCAGCATGCCTTCCCTTGCCCGGAACCCCTGTCTTATCTACTGAAATCCTCTCCGTCCTTGCTTCCTGTCCTCCCACCACAGGGGATGACCTGACTTCTGGCCAGCGAGGCGGCTGCAGAGCAGCGGGGCCCTGCTTCCCCAGAGCTCGGGGCATGTCTGGGTCTCCTGCCCCCGCAGGTTGAGCCCAGGCCAGCGTGGCATTCCTTAGAGGGGGGATTCTTCGTTGGGCAGGAGGACCGGCTCACTGCAGGTCCTTGCACATCCCAGCCGCCAGCTGCAGCAGCCTCCAGTCACCATGACGACCCAAAATGCGCCCCTCCCCTCCCCCCCTTTCCAAATGTCCCCAGTGGGACCCCTGGACTAGATGGCCTCTTGGCTCTGGAGGGCAACACTTGTGGAGCTATTGCTCTGTCAGCGTGCGCGCCCACGGGGATCCCCTCCGTGAATACGACACCCCTCAGGGCAGGGGCTCGGAGGGAGTAAGAAAGGCGCCCAGAGAACGCCAGCTACTCCTCGCCAGCTACTCCTCGCCAGCTACTCCTCGCCACACTGTCACGGTATTCTTCCAAGTTCAGTGATTCCAGCTGGGCAATGCCCGCAGGCCAACGGCCGTGTCTGATCCTCTGGCAACCCCCTGGGCTCAGAGGGCTGGCACAGAGCAGGTGTGCTGGCAGCCAGGACCCGGCTGCTACAAGGTTGGACCCTGTCACAGATTCAGTAGCTCCTCGCTCGCTCAGTTTCAGGGACTTCAGAGCTTGGGCATAAACCACAGCTATGTTTTCCAGCGGTGGGTCCGGGGGCAAATCACCTGCCCGATCGGAGCCATGCTCTGCACATATATTAAAGGGGTTCATAGCCCCTACTTCTGAGAACAGCTATGTCAGGGGTCGGCAAATTCATCAGTCCACAGAGCCAAATATCAACAGTACAACGATTGACATTTCTTTCGAGAGCCAATTTTTTTTAAACGTAAACTTCCTCGAACGCCACTTCTTCAACATAGACTCGCCCAGGCCGTGGTATTTTGTGGAAGAGCCACACTCCAGGGGCCAAAGAGACACATGTGGCTCGTGAGCCGCAGTTTGCCGACCACAGATCTATGTAAATCTCCTAGCTAGGTGCCCTCCCTTTTTTAAGGGTTGAGGGGAGGATGATGACCAGCGAGCTGCTACCTGCCTGCGCCCTTCTGTTTGGGGACTATTCCCAGGAAGGATGAGACCAGAGCCTGCCAAGGGGGTCCCGGGGAGATGGGTTTGCTGGATTTTGATAGGGCCATGCTCTTCAGGCTGCACGTATGTTTTTTCTATGTGGATGTGTGCTCTCTCCACACATGCACAGCTCACAGCTGAAGGTACTGCAGCCTTTCCTTGTCCAGAGGACCTAGCCCACTAGGTCCTTGTACCGACAGCACAGTGTGCAAAGGGCAGGATGTGGAGTGAGACACACCAGGGGTGGATTCCCAGCTTTGCCACTCACCTCACGCGTGACCTTGGGCATGAAACGGCACAGGGGGTGGTGTGGTTGCACAGGTAAAGCCAGGTGCCTGGCACAGAGCAGGTGTTCAGGGAGGAGTGGCCATTGTGCTGCACCTCCATCTAAGGTGGCTAGGACCTCTTAGCAATCCTGGGATGGGTCATCATCCACTGTTGTTGACAAACATGCTTTGTGTGTGTGTGTGTGTGTGTGTGCGTTTGTGATTCTTCCCCCCATTTTATTGATGGTAAAAACAAGAACCAAAACAACCCCCTCCCCGAGACTTAGGGGACATGACCAGAGAGCCAGCTGAGCTGTGAACTAAAAGTAGGACCCTGATCGCCTTCCTGCCCCATGTAGTGTCTTCTCAACAGGTGCTTATGGCTCCCAACTGGGGTAAGTACCAGTCCCTCCTCTCCACAAAGCCCTCCAGGCCCTGGCCCCTCGGGCATCCCTGGACCCGGCCAGCTTGGCAGAGAACCCCAGCTGGGATAATTACATAACCAGACAAGCAGGTGGGGAGGGGGCCATCCGAGGGCAGGCATAGAGGACAGGGAATCCAAGAAGAGCCCTCTGCCTCTCCTCTCTCTGGGTGGCAAAACTCAGAGGCATCTAGATGGCCCCTACCTGCAGATCCTCCTGGACACCACACTGCCTGCCCAGAAACCAGCCCTTCAGGGGGAATAACGGGGAAATAAAAGCGGGTCACCCGTGCTTGCGCCAGGAAGCGGTGCCAGAGGCCCCTGGGTTGGGGCAGCCTCCCGGAACTCACCAGGCCCGAGCGTGGCCCTGTCCCTGGCTGGGAGGTGACCAGTGCCCCCTCTTTCTCCCCAGACAGCGGTCCTGGGTCTAAGTGTCTACGAATCCAGCATTCCCAGCAGGTGGGGGTGGGTGGGGGCTGCCCAGAGCAGCCGGGCCCAGCCCCTGAGCGCTCCCTCCCCAAGGCCTGCGCTCCGCAGTGAGTCTGCAGACAGCGCTCGCCCGCCCGCCCGCCCGGGCAGAGCCTGGGGACTCACACGGGGGCCCAAGCCCGCCTCCCGTCCTCTCCCCGGGGCCTTGGCTGCCGGAGTCTCTGCCCCAGACCGAGGACCGGGCTCTCCGGGTCCCGTGGGCCGAGTCCCCCACCGTCTGCCTGCTGCTGTCCCCACCACGTTCCCGTGCGAGTGGGTGGGTGGGGGCTCTGGAGGATGCTGGGCTCCCCATGACCTGATTGGTAGGAGTTTGGGGGTGGGGGGGATGCTAGAGCCCAGCCCGATCTCCGCCTCCAGCAGCACCTTGCAGGCACCCCGCACCCCAGCTCCGGCTCTCACGTGGCAGCCCCGCGCCGCTTCCCCGCCAGCCCGCCGGCCCCCTCCTCCCTCCCTCCCTCGCTCCTCGCCGGGCACCCATCGCCCCAGCCGTACCCCCTTCACCTGCCCTCCACCCCCCCCCCCCCGACCCCGCGCCACCCCGCCGGCCCCTGACCTCCCGCCGCTTACCCGGGGCCGTCTTAGCTGCCCCCAGCCCTGGGGCCGCGCTCCCCCCGGGCTCCGGCGCTGCCCCCGGTCCCGGCCCGGGGGGAGAGGAGGGGCCCCGGCTGCCCTGTCGGCGGCGCAGAGGCGGGCGCGGGGGCAGGTGCGGGCGCCGAGGGGTAGGCACCTCCAGCCCCTGGTCCCGGAGCGCCGCCCGCCAGCGCTGGGAGGAGGGAGGAGGGAGCAGGGAGCAGGGAGCAGGGAGGAGGGAGCAGGGAGGAGGGAGGAGGGAGGAGGGACGCGGGGCGGGGCGGGGGGCGGGGGAGGCGAGTGGCTGGCGTTCCGCTGGGTCCCTGAGCCTGACACATTCACTTGGACGACCCTGGTCGAATTTTTTAATCCTCAGACCCAGCGCCCACTCGGACTCTGCTGGCGGTATTTCCAGCTCTAACCTGGAGGGCGGGGAAGAAGGGACCGGGAGGCCCTCATGCCATCTGCTTCCCTCCAGGCGAGGCTCGCTCAGAGCGAAGCTGCTCTGCTTCTTCCATGGAATGATGCCCCCTCACCAGGCTGCTCCTTCTCCTCTCCAGACGGGGAGATAGCAGGGGCCGAGGGCAGACTCACCCTCGTATTTATTCTGGAACCGTCGTCACCAGCGTCATTATCAGTAGCTAACTCGTATGAGCACCTACTATGTGCCAGGCGGCGTGCTCCGAGCCTTGGGTGTATCCTCAAATGTCACCCGCACAATTCTGTGAAGGAGAGTGTCGATCCCGGTTTACAGATGAGCTAGCTGAGGCTGAGAGAGGCTAAGTTGTCTTACCGAAGGGCAAAAAGTGGAATATAGCTGAAACCGGTTTGGCTCAATGGATAGAGCGTCAGCTTGGGGACTGAAGGGACCCGGGTTCGATTCCGGTCAAGGGCATGGACCTTGGTTGCGGGCATATCCCCAGTAGGGGGTGTGCAAGAGGCAGCTGATCGATGACTCTCTCTCATCGATGTTTCTAGCTCTCTATCTCTCTTCCTTCCTCTCTGTACAAAATCAATAAAATATATATATTTTTAAAAAGTGGAATATAAAGATTGGGAGTCCCAAGCTGGGCGGCCGCTGATGAGCTTGGAGCTGTGCTATGTGCTGTGCCAAGGCAAGGCTCGGAGGGAAGGCAGAGGGTCGTGGGCCAACTAGCTAGAGGAGTCCGTGGAGGCAACGTTCGGGGAAGGAGCCTTGACAGATGCACTTGGGGTGGGATGTTGTGGGAGAGGAGGCCTGAGCGGGAGTCCGGGACCAGACCTGCACGCCAGGGGCAGGAATCATGGTGAGTGACAGGGAGCCACGTTGGTTGAGGTGAGGAAGTGAAGGCCTTGATTGCCGGTAGGAGTTTGGACATAGCCCCGTGCTGCATGGGAAGGCATTGAAGGTTTTTGGTTTTAGTTTTGTTAATTCTCACCCAAGTATATTTTTCCCCATTGATTTCTTTTAGAGAGAGTGATAGGGAGGGGAGAGACACACAGAGAGAAACATTGATGTGAGAGAGACACATTGATCGGTTGCCTCCTCAAGGCATCCTGATCAGGATTGGGGATCGAGCCTGCAACTGAGGTACATGCCCTTGACTGGAATCCAACCATGGGCAGACGCTCTAACCACTGAGCAAACCGGCCAGGGCCATTAAAGGGTGTCGAAGCAGGGTAGCAACCTGGTCACAGTTGTATTTCAAAGGCCGGGAGAGCTGGGAGGCGGAGGAGGGGGAGCTCTGAAATGTCTCTGCCTCTGGGACCCAGCATCGCCCACTGGCACTTCCTACTATTTGTGGCCATGGTTTCCCCGCAGATCCTAGTCCTCCTCCTCACTGGGCTCTACATTTTGGGCA